CTAAAAGGGTAGTGAACGTTGGGGTTTCAATTACATTTATTTCGATCTAATTCAATTTGGAACTAATAAAGTTCTAATCTAAAATGCAATGTAAATTTCTTACTGCCTCTGAAGTCTGCCACAGAAGTCTGACTTATAAAGAAAATCTGTGCACTGACAGATGTGCGTTTGCCCCATACTCCACCGGGGTAACGGGATTTCACAATTACTACTAAAGTTCTAATGCGACATTAACATAACATGAAAATTACAAAATTAAAACAGTTAAAACCAGTCCCATAAGCAAATAACGTATTTGTAATTTAGTAATAAAGAGTTTACACAGGCATTTTAGCCAATTATGTTCAAACATCTAAACTAATGTATATTAAAGTTCCAACCCTTTTTAATTATGAAAAACTTCTCCCGGGGGGGAACCTCATGAAAACCTCACACTTCATTGTAGGGTTCTCATACCATCGTTTCATTTGAGTAATTAAAAATATACATTTATTGAAAAACATATTTTATAGTCAAGTATTTTAGGTCCAATTTGTTACTTCCCCCAAGGGAACACTCAGCGAGTAATTAGTTGGTTTACTAATTAGTACTTATTCTTTTATCCCTAGGAATATTTTATACAGAAACCAACACACAGTAAGGAACTTTAAAATGTTTAAAAGCATCCGAAACGTCGGTCCGTATTTAAAATAATTAAATAGGTTTAAGTAATATATATCGCTTTTTAAACCGTTGTGTTTTATTTAAATGTGTACTACTCGCGTGAACTACAGGCAGTATTTAAAAACTAAAATAAAAGGGTTGCCTGGAAGAGATCGCTTAATAGCGATTAGGCCGCCCGTTACACTCCATAGTTTATAGATATAATTTTCTAGTTCATTGTAATTGTGTTTGTGTGTCTTGTGTAATAAAGTATAAATTAATAAAAGTGAGTACATATAGGAAGATACAAAAAAAAAATACGACACGTTGCGTATCGTCAAATTGTAAAGTAAGTTGTTTCAAGTACCGCTTCTGAAAGATTAAAGATAACTACAATGAAATACTGTCTATAGTTTACGCGAGTAGATTAGACACATTTAAATAAAACACTTTAACGGTTTAAAAACGCGAAAATTCTCAAATTGTTTAACTAATATATCGCGTTTTAAACCGTTAAAGTGTTTTATTTAGATAACTACAATGTTTTAAGTAGTATTAGGAGAAAATAAGTAGAATTAAATAGACTTAGAGTAGACACAATAGTACGTTATCATTGACTGTAATGATTTGTACTTAAGTATCTCGTAATATTTACCCAATGTTGAGTCAATATTCCGATTCACGATAATATTGGGGCCACTGATAACGGCAAGATAAGATTACTGTCCCGTGTTTAGGAGAAAGTCACTTTCAAAGTTTATTGTTTTAGTTCTAAGGAAACAATGAATCCGAGAGCTTAGGCTACCTTTCACTGTTTTTAAAACAATCGCCGTTTATCATTTCACCAATGTCCTTTCTACTGTTGTAGAAATAAAACTCGTAATATTTTTTTTTATACCTGTATAGATAGGGCATAAAAATACTACTATTCATTTTTGACACGTTACAAATGGATACTGTCTATAGTTTACGCGAGTAGAACACATTTAAATAAAACACTTTAACGGTTTAAAACGCGATATATTCGTTAAACTTATTTGAAGTTAAAAATCATTTTCAAATGAGTTTAACTAATATATCGCGTTTTAAACCGTTAAAGTGTTTTATTTAAACGTTACAAATGATCTAAATGAAGGCCGAAGAAACCTACAACACATCGTCAAAATATTACTTTTGCTTTAAATAAAACGTTTTTTTTAATAGAGGAGAACAGATAAGCATGAGGCTCACTTATGGAGGTGCAATACCGCAGCCAAATAACATCTTAGCAAGATTCGCCGTCGATCTATGTTTACCTTTCTATATTCGAAAATCGGCAGACTGAAACCGTTTCGCGATTTAAACTTGACGGCTTTTTCACCTGTGGAGGTGCTTCTAGACCTGGACGGAAAATATACCACCCATTTAATAACCAAATTTCCAGACGAAGTCGCGGATATGACGCCCAAGTGGGGTTCGAATCGGCCCGTAGAGTTTTAACCAAATATTTTAGCTTTTGACATTTTATTTCCAATTTACAGTTCGCGTTTAAAACACTTAAAAGTGTGTCTACTACTCGCGTAAACAGACAATACCTTATATTTCAATCATTTAATTGTTTAATAAGAATTGCATATAGTTTTTTATAAAGCCATCTAGTATAGTTTACAGAACAACAGACCACTAGCAACGGGTGCACTTAACCACTTAGTAATTCTAAGCGACACTTGATCACGTTGCTAATTACAAATAAATATTATATAATTACATGGACGTACAACCCATCTGCGGTTGTTATGATAAATAAACATGTAAGCAAACGCATGTTAGGTAATAGGTAGTTTACTTACTAGGTAGGACTACGATAACACTAAATAATAATAAAATACCAATAGTTAAAGTAAAGTCACAAAAATCTTTAAACTTCAAACCAAACAGATAAAGATTACTTTGAAACACGTTGTTAAACAGAGAAAAATCAGATTTGAGTACATATAATAATGGTTTGATCTCTGAAATCAATAATCAGGTCGTCAGATAAAAATAGTTACAATTTTATCCATAAACAAGAAAATCTAAGAAACGTGCGTACGTGGTTGTTCGACCGTCGCACGCGCCTGAAATTAAACAATGGATAATGAAGGAAAATATACACCGAACCTTACTCGATTGACGTCAATTTTGTTTGAGCGCGCTGTCCATCCAAATTGTTCTACCAAAGTACATGTGTCACTTTCCATTCCATCATAAAGTATATTGTATTAACACATACATGTTAACTAAAATATCGTGCGACATATAATGTCGCAGTCACTAGAATAACACACCAGTCATAACCGTTCTTGTTAAATTATTAATTTTAGTGCTCTTTGGGATTTTAAGCCGATCGGCCATCGTTATCAAGATGATCCTGAACACCGTCGACTCGCGATGGTGACACACCGAGAACCATATCTCAAGTGTGGCCGAATAGCCCAAAAACTAAAATTACAATGATATATCAAATAATGTGTCTTTTTCTTGAATTAAAATAAAACGTAAACGCAAAAATAAACATTATTTATTTAAATGCAAACTTAATACTCATGACAACAAAAATACATCCAGTTTTTATAAAAGAATATAGAAAATATGTAGAAATAAAAATGTAGAGTTGTATGTATTAAACATTAAATAACTCGCCATATAGTCTTCCTTGTAATTTATTTCTTTATAGTTCTTTGCCTTTCTAACATTTCTCCTAAAGATTTAAATGTTTATAAGTCGTTCAATAACTATAAAGTGAGTGTTAGAACATTTGTCCACGACACGAGAACATTTAATTTTCTCTACGCTTTTACACCCATGTTGTGGATCGTCGGATAAACAAGTGGTTTGCAATTGTAATAGGAAACTTATTCTGTGTTTATATACGTTTTACATAGGTTACAATGCACATCTCTTATAGTTATTTCAACTATTATTTCTTTAAGAACAAAAGTACGCTATATTTTTTAAGTAGGGTGGATTGAAAGTGTTTTTCCATAACGCAACTAATAAACTAACCTACATAATTTAAAACGCGTTTTTAATTTGTCTATTCTTTGTTAACTGACAATCTTATATTTATTTATTCATAACACAAAATTAAAATCGTTTAACCTTGTACCTAAACACTTTTCCTTGCGCCAGTACTGTGTGCCTTTTAGTAAATGGTGTCTAATGCAACTTTTACGAGTGTGGTATATGGTTTAAGTGTATGTTATCCTTTACTGAAACATCAAACCTTATGCTTTTAAATTTTATTGCTAGCTACATCGTCGTACCTTCATACCAAGTTATAGGTAGGATAATAGCTGTAGTCAGTATACCATATATGTCTAATTCTTTAAATATAATAAAGAAACATTCGATTTTTGTTTATTGCGCCTAAAAGGCTAAACCAATTTGTATAAATGACCTCTAACTAATATACCCTTAATAAGTAGAATAATTAATTGTCTCTTACTTCCCTGTCTTTAGCCTTCACGCTTAAATAATTTAGGCGATAAAAGACTCATCTATTGTCCTAAATTCAATAGCTTTCAGATTAGCACGGGTCAAATTCCGCGAAAAGTGTTTATTTGAGGAAATTGCTCTGATACGCTACATTGCACTGACGTAAGTACATCTCATTATTTAATTAAAAAAGGAAATTAATGTTAGGCGTGTAATTAGAATTCTTTCCTAAAAAGTATTTTTTGGCATGACCGCTCTGCGATCCAAATTAACATTGCAATAAGCAAAGCCTGCGCGATTTCAATCACTGGAAAACATTTAAAATAGTGTTGTTGGGACTTATAATCTGTTTCCACATAAATATAATATAATTACTTAATAAAATTGTATTAACACTTATTCCTTATAATTAATAATTATGAACATTTAACATTTAAATTTCCTGAAAAGTTTTTTTTTGAACATAAAATATAATATTATTAATATTGTATATACAAATATATTCCTGCTATAGACATCTAGTGTCAAGTAGATAAAATATAAGATTTATAGTGATAATACCGCCATCTAGTGATAATTAACATAGGCTTGGGGTAATTTTCATTTCCATATAAATATTCCAATATAGCGACATCTCTTGGTAAAATATGAAGTGTTACTTTAAAACAAAAATAATTAAGTGCATAAAATTATATTTAATTGAAAGTCTGCATTATTCAAATGGATATATCAGCATTTTATGAATATGAAATACCGTTAAAAAAAACTTGCAGAAAAAAATGGTGAATATAAATCCACGCTCTTTATACATTTGAATACTCAGTATGTTCATTTATCATAATTTTAATTATTGTAATACAAAGAAGCATTAACAACAAGAAATTACTTCTATCATATTAACCATGGATACACTTGCTAAATTTGATAAATTTCGATACAGCTGCGGTGTCCGAGTGGTTAAGGAGATGGACTTGAAATCCATTGGGTTCTACCCGCACAGGTTCGAATCCTGTCCGCAGCGGATTTTTTGAGTTTTTTGCCTGGTAATATTTGTTATTAAAATATATTCTTTTAAATATCTTTCATTAATTCCTTACTCCGTTGCAAAACTTGTCTTACTTAAGCAAAACTTAAAATATTAAGCAAAAGAATTCCAAGAAGAATAAATGAAAGAAGTGTGTTTTAAAATAAAGATTATGTTATTAGCCGACATGTAAAATTATATTATTTAGTGAAATGTCTATCAGATATTAACTATATTAATTCTGATCCTCTGTAGTACTCATCAATAAATATGTATATAACAAAAATAAAAAAGGTTTCCTTCGAGCCGGATTTGAACCAGCGACCTATGGATGACAACTTTGATTACCTCTACAGTCCACCGCTCTACCAACTGAGCTATCGAAGGTTGTAAGATAATGTGGAAATAGCGATTATCATGTTTTTCCAAGTTACTTTACGACATTAGTCAATTGAAGTGAATTATAATCACATAGTTATAAATTATTCGTGTGAAATGAGAATTTTTTTAAACGCCAATTACAAGGGACCAAAACCCAAAAATACTACCCTTTCCCCCAAAAAAACAAATTTCCCCCCCCCAAAAAATTCCCCCCCCCCGGGGGGCAAATCCCCCCTTCCCTTCCAAATTTTTCCCCCCCAAAAAAATTTCCCGGAAAACCCCCCCCCCCGGGGTTTTTTTTTTTTTTTTTTTTTTTTTTTTTTTAAAAAAAAAAAAAATTTGGGGGGGGTTCCCCCCCCAAAAAAAAAAAAAAAAAAAAAAAAAAAACCCCCCCCAAATTTATTTTTTTTTTTTTTTTCCCAAAAACCACCCCCCCCCCCCCCCCCCCCCCCCCCCCCCCCCCCCCCCCCCCCCCCCCCCCCCCCCCCCCCCCCCCCCCCCCCCCCCCCCCCCCCCCCCCCCCCCCCCCCCCCCCCCCCCTTTTTAAATTTTTTAGTAAAGAACTGCTGAGGCAAAGGTTAAAATCTATTTTTAAATATTTATACGTGCATAATAAATATATGTATATATAAAAAAATAAATTATTTACATAGTTTCCTATATTATATACCACGCTACATAAATCTTAACAAAATTATATAACAAACTAGACTACGTCACTTCGTACGACGCCTAATGATGATTAAATTTATTCATAAAATTAAGAGCTCATGAAAATTCATAAAACCACGAGAAAATTAGAGCGAAAAGTTTCGCTGAAAATAGAGTCAACAACGGATAGTTCAAGATCACTTCGTATGCAAACAAGGCTTAAAATAACTGCCCAACGAACTCTAGTACAAATTCAAGTATTTTTAACAGTATCAATAAAGTTTATCGAACTCGTTAAGTTTTGATCGGAAAGACTGGATGGAGACAATCTTAATTGCATAAAACTCTACTTAATTAATAATTTATCAAAATATAAATACATTTTAATTAGGTGATACTTTTATTGAGTTGATTTATCTACTTTTACGTAGTTTTTGTCATAGATATTGAATAACGGCTTATTTCAAAACGACTATATTTAAGCAGGTAATTAGTACGTTTTCTCTCAAATCTTGCATTGATTATATAATGCTTATTTTTTTTTAAACGATCTACTAAACGTTACGTAGGGAATATATAATAATTTATCGATAAATGTTTTAAATTGGAAACTGACATAAAAATATATTTCCCTGAAGTTATATATGTGCAAAACAACAGGGATTATTCCAACGCACTGTAGCTCTAACGATTAGTTTATCATTAGTTGATAATTTTAGCGCAGCTGCATGAATAACGTAAATATACAAATGTTTAACTACTTTGAATTGAAACAGCCGAATATAAAAGTTAAATATTAAGAACACAATCATTCAGGTTCGCAATTAAGCGAATGCAGCTCAGCACCCTGACGTCACCGGCACAGCCTCCGTATTGTCAAACACTTATTATTTAATTATTATCAACGTGTGCAGTGCGGCAGACTTTCTACGCTGCTGAAAGTAAGTACTCCAGTACCACAATCAGAGGAATATAGCTTGTATTAAAGGTAAATATGGTATGATTTAGTTTGGATATTCTGATGCGGTTAAGGCGCTTCAGAGTACGAGATCGACAGGGTGAATTTCGGCCGATCCTGGTACAGAGAACGCTTGCGCGATATAGTTTCGGAGCCCATATCACTCAGAGTAAGGCGGCGCGCCGGCTTGCGCGCTCGCCTCGCCATCGGCTCCGCGCCCATCATCACTCCCCTAAACCTTTCCATCAATAAAAAAGCTACCAATTGTGTCTGTCACCTGTATGTGAAGAATGACGATGTCAATTTATTAGTATTCATTCAGAACGATCGCGTCATCGCTCCCGTAGTGTCTTCCTTTGTTGTGTGATCTAGTTGTGTTTTGATGAGGTGAGTAATAGAAGGTCGGAGGTTGCCCTTGGTAATGTCAGATTGCATGTATGTGGTCCCTCATGTGGCAAATTAGGTTTGCGTGTTACCGCGAAATCGTTCGAGTGTCATTATGCCCTTACCTACCTTTGGCCGCTGTGCTAGATGTCGATCGCAGCGAAGTTTTCGTGCATGCGACGACTTAGCTCTTGGAAGCGTAGTTTAAATCCCTGCGTTTAAATTTGATTGGGAAACTTACTTAAATAAGTAAGTTATATATTATACTTGTAACATTATGACTTGTAATTTTGTATTCAATTGATGGATTCTTAGTACTGAATCGAATTTATAAGTTTAGAAGATACACAAGGAGATACTCCCTATAAGATAAATACAGACTGATGATGATGAAGATGATATGTATGGTGATAGAAACATCGGTTCGATTACATAATGGGAAGTTTGGTGTGTCACTAAGACAAAATGAATAAATTGATACTAAAATTCTTACTGTATAGCTATAGCATAGTGTCGTTATAATACATACTGCTCTGAGCATGTACGTAAGACAGAGATATAGAGGATTTGCTCATGTCAGAATGAAAAGAGAAATTGAGCTGGAATTTATATTAGGTAGTAAGTTGACGTAAAGACTCATGATATACTCTTTAAATTCACTGTCTTTATAAAAAAACAATCGAAATCATGTCTGTACATTTAATGAAAACAATCGTGATATGCTTTACGAAGAAAAACCTATTTACAGGATAACAATGTCCTGTAAATACGTGTTACAAGTACTACACGTATTTTCAGAAATAAATCAAGCTAAGTGTGAGGTGCCGTAGGTTAGTATAGTATGCTTTGTTACGTTGAAATCAGGTGCAGTTATTAAAATATTTGGTATATAACACAACTGAAACTAAATGTCCAAAATGAAATGAATAGTTTATACACAATGCAAAACAGTGATTTTCAGCACGCAGACAAACTCGCAAGCATACGTAACTTCTATTTATGGATGTATGGAAACATAAGGATTATTACTACTAAATCATAAAAAAATTGTTAAAAAAGAAAGTTTATATAAGAGAAGTTAATTATGGTATCGACGTATGTGATTCGAGAATCATGCTAAATATAAACGTAACGTGTAACTCTAAATAAGAAACCATATAAAGTTTATTCCACTGGTATTAATGGTAAAGGTAATAATAACATCACGAATGTAGAACAAATGTAGTGAAAGATATTTTTTGAAACATTGAACGCAGTCGATGACCCAAATAGGACCCGATCTTAGATCGAACTTCGTTTCGTGACAAGCTTTCTTACCTTATAGAGATACGAACTCTAGACTGTTGAGTCTAGGTTCGCAACCGACCTGTGTAAAAGATGTTTTCTTACTAAGAATACGATTCTCTTCAGGGGCTATAACTGGTAGAATTTGTGAATGCATATTTAAATATTATACACGTAAATGGGGACATCCTTCAAACAACAAAGGAGACCTTCTAATCCTTGGGTTAACCCTTGCTAAGCAATAATTTACATGAGAATTGCCGACTGCTAAGAGCTCCTAAGCATCAGTCAACTGTCCGTGAACAATATTAGTTTGAAATATTGCAAGGTTCCTTATTAATTCCGTCTTTATTGTTTCCGAGTTACGTTAAGTTATTCTAGTTTAGTTAATTTTCGTTAAGCAATAGTAGTTTATATTTGATCTATTATAATTATTAATAAAAAACTGGCTCTACGCATAGAGCGTTGTAAAGCTATTTTTATACTGCTATATTTAAGTTTACTTGATATGACTATATATTTCCCCAACCCATTGACTTAAACACTGTTTAGCGTGTCTCTTTCTAAATGACAATAATAAATAATCATTAATAATTGTGTTAAATACTATCTGTAGTTTCCGCGAGTTATAACGCGATGTATATTAGATAAACTTATTTGAAAATTATTTTAACTACGGCCCGACGTTTCAGTTGCTTTGCACCAGCCGTGGTCACAGGGGAGACTCTCCAAAAAGTTTAATAAATAAATATCGCATTTTAAACCGTTAAATTAAGTTCATCATTTGCCAATCGTAACTGATGGTGTACTAGTTTTAAATCAGGGTTATATTATACAATATTTTTGAAACCTTGATATTTGTTAACTTAAAATACGTATAAGAAAGTCAAGAGAGTACGAAATAAACTTCATATAACATGAAAATTCATATCTTCGCCAGAGCTAGAGCATGGAGATATTTCAGGTGCATAATAAACACTGAACGACGAAGCATGAAACCGCATGAAAAGGGATAAAGGTCATATCAGAGTTCATAACAGTGAGATCACAAAGCGATGGAAATGTGTCAACGGAAAAGACCTAAAAAGCAACCCTCGTTAAAGAGGGGCTTACACAGGTCCCAGTTAATGGGAAATGTGTAATTTTTATATCTCTTCAACAATGACCCGGTTTAATGACACTTCGAGGAATAAATTGCATATAATCTGTAAGATATAAAAAAATATCAGAAATTACATACTTCTTGGATACTTCATTCTGTAATGCTGTAATTTTTTTTTTTAATTTTCTTATATTTCTGAATTTAAAATTGAATTCTTGTAATTGGCTTTCTTATATCTATTATGTCGACTGTACTATAATAGCTGTAGTTTTTGTGATATCTAAATAAGTAAGTAAAGGAAAAAATAGTCTGCAGCCATAATATTTTTAAAAAAATTATTTTCACAGATAAAAAGTACTTTAAATGTAGTAAAAAGACTTCGAGGTATTTGATAAAAAAAATAACTTTGTATTATATGTATACATGATATAATATTCTTAAAACGAATCTTTATATCTTTCCTCTTACTGTCAAGTGGACTAACAACACTTCTGCAACACGTTCACACGGGACACTTACAAGACTATTTCTAAATCTTTTCTACAAGCAATATATTGGTTATTTTTGTTAGTAGTAGAAACTATTTAAGATGTGAAAATATCTAGGCCTGTTAATAATATTGTTAAAACCGAAACTGTACTTCATCTTTGTCTTTTGCATAAACTTAAATAAATTGTAATTGTATTTTAAGAAAGACATTTGTTAATGTTAGTAAGTTCTTCGTAAGGTATCTTTTTAAAATTTAAATCTTTCGCCTCCACTATATGGACACGAAAACGACGTTGTATGTATGTTTTGGTATAAATTGGTTCATAGGTATGTCGTTTCTGACGACATTGTAAATGTCTTATTTAAAAATTAAATCTCTGATGATTTAGTTTATTTCTAATCGCGCGACTTACATCTAAAACTTGGTTAAATCCAATCAGAAAACCAAATCAGCACCTTGCTTATGCCACAATTATCAGATACCTGAATTAGAAAATGATGTTCTTCGGTTTCAATCCACTGCAGCAGTGAATAAAGGCCTTCTAAAAGGTTTCTCCCCTGTTTGATATAGTCTGTGTGTAACTGTCCTACTTCTGAACGTAACAGCTTGACATTAATATTTCTGTAGTCATTAAAACGGTTCTATTTTTAACCTTTCTTGGTAGCTGTTGTTATTAAGCTTTTGTCTTCACGTGCTTGCTAGATTGATGGCTTTGGGCGATCGAGAGTAACTGAAGCTTTCCAATTAGCGAACTACGTATGAAGCTAGGCTACGCTAGGGGTTGTGGCTTCATTCCGTAGATAATGAATAAACTGGTACATATACATAGCGTATAAAGGTATATATTTTCTTTGATTTATATATAAAACCGTGAATTTAATATGAAATTCAAAATCCTTAAACAGCATTACATTTATTAAATGTAATTTAACTATCCGCCGTCTCTCGCGTAAACAGCAATAGTAGAAGCCAAACAGTATACTTATTTGTTACGTCAATAATCCTTTCATTTGTCGTCCATTTTTTAAAATATCTATATAATTTAACACTTCCATTGATTCTTCATAACAGCCCGCAAAATTTTACATAATCGGACAGCGTGTAATCCAGTTGGCTATGGCGCGTTGCGGCGTGGCCAGCTAGATGCGGACCATGACGTCATAACGTCAACTTCGAAAAATTTAAGCACAGATTATAATATTTAGCGAAATTCCACGTTTTGACAAGTATAAAAATTTAAATAAAACAAAGCAGACGTGGTCACGGGGAGACTGCTGCAAAGCATCCAAAATCATTGTCAAATAAGTTTAGGTAAGTAATATATCGCGTTTTAAACCGTTAAAGTGTTTTATTTAAATGTGTAGTACTCGCGTAAGCTATAGACAGTATTTAAGTGTAAAAAACGTTGCATGTAATTTAACCCCAATCTTGCAAAGATAATTTAAAAAATACTTAATCGAAATAACTCTACGAAAGAAAAGAAGTTTGACGATAAGTTTATCTTTGTTTTTACTCAAAATATTTATTTTTGCTGGTAATAATTATAATTTAGAAAAAATAAACTTTTTCTCTTAGCGAAATATGGATTGAAGATGCTTATAACTCTGCTATCTTGTAATCTCTCTTTTTTTTAAACTGTGTTTTTCAAACATAGTCATAACCCAGTTCGACATAATTCGAACGCCATAGGAAACAATTTCAGAATTTTCCGGAACGAAAGAAAAAAAGAATATACACTGTTCTAAAGGGATTTTTACAGTATAGGTTTTGTTGTTTTAAATTGTGTCACCTATATTAGCATGTATTCAACTGTATATTTGTATGATCAAATTTCAGTAGAGCTACCTAATAAATAAATAAAATATAAATTCGCTTTTTGAAATGTAAATAAAGAAGCCTCTAACTCCCTTAAAAATTATTTTTTATAATATCTATTTTAATGTACAGCTTACTCCCCCCGACGTATTAAGATACTTTATACCCGTTTACGAGTGATCTATTATAGTTTATTCGGTCTAAGCCCAGTACTCGCAAAGGTAGCTTTTAACTGATTGGCGATATACATAACTGAACACTATATCACACGTGCAAGACCGCAGACCGTAAAATATATTACTAATACGTATATGCCGTGAAGAAGATTTCTTTATGGTTTTTATGAGAAGCACACAATTTATTACGTAGCTACGCCGTTTCTTATCCAACTCTCTACGATGCCAGATTTATCCCTCCTTTAAGTTTTTTTATTTTATTATACTGTATTTGGACTTTTTGCTATAATTATTTTAAATGATAAATGCAGTTTATTTTAATAAAACATTGTAAAACGCGATATTTATTAGTTAAACTTATAGTCCCCGTAACCATGGCTGCTGCAAAGCATAGGAACGTCGGGCAGTAGTAAAAATAATTTTCAAATAGTTTTACTAATATAAATCGCGTTTTAAACCGTTGAAGTGTTTCATTTGATTGTGTACTACTCGCGTAAACTACAGACAGTGTGTACTTACTTACGTCAGTTTATACAAATCTATAATTTATAATTTCATTCGTAAAATTATTAATTTTGAAAACAATTGATTTTGCTATTCAGTTATTCAACGCGTTGCGCGAATAGCGTTCGGTTCGATTCCCAGGTGAGTCACAGGTAGGGCACAGAATTCTGAATAAACCCTGTTAATAAAATCGATCAGTTAAATAAGGATTCATGTATCCTTATTTCACTGAATCGCCTCGGTGGAATCAACGCACGCTCCAAAAAAATAACTAGGTAAAAATATTCGAAAAACTATTATGCCTACCTCATTCATATAAGAACATAAAATTTTGCCAGTTCAAGTTCAATCTTCTTCAGTTTACGGAGCTAATGAAGTTGACGATTTACAGCCCCGAGCCGGGTTAAGCTGATTAGTGAACGAAGCAATCGGGCGACTCATTTCTCCGCTAAACTCGTTGTATGCGATCAACGAAAATATTAAATTTTCCTACCCCTTTTGGCTTCTTAAGCATGTAAAATGCAAGGAAGTAGCGTAAGAGTTCGTTTGTTTGTTTGCACGCGTTAATATCAACCACTGGTCCAACCAAAAAACACAGTACTACACAAAAAGCAACAGCGATTACAAATGAAAGGTGAAAGGCTAAGGAGGTACAGACGTGTATATTATATAGAGTGAACTGGGAAAAGGATAAGCTTCTCAATTTGTGCTGACGTACATTGCGATATAAAAAAGCACCGATTACCAGTGGCCAGCGTTTGACAGTAAGAAATCAAAGAAAAGAAAAAGTAATAATTACAAGAAGATAATGGAGAAGAAGATAAATGTATTAGGTAATATTGAAACACAAGTTAAGCGCGAATCATAAAGAAATTTTATTATTATTTTGATATCATTGTTTTACATTCACAATTTAAAATAAGAATAAAAAAATAAACATTCTCAAACGTTAACACGCACCCCTATTGTCGATTGTTAAACTCATAATCCCATACACAAAGTACACCTAAACCAAAATAATGTTGCCAGTATAGAGGTGAACCAGTTCGATCGTAAACAACGTAATTTAAATTAAACGACGACCTCTAACCTTTCCAAACATTTTCGGGTACATCGAGCCTTTTCATTGCTTTTCAAACCTCATTGAATGATCGGTATCAAATTTGGGACGTGGTACGACAATTCACCGTCTTCGCAGTCGATTTCAATGGATGTAAGTTTCTATGTTGTCTTCGCAAAGTGCTTGAACAAGTCCAATATTATCGAAACTTGAATCGGGAATCAGAATATATGGCAAATTATGACTGTGTCGTTATTTTTGTATAAAAACTGAAGCTTTAAACTTTAAAAATCTTTTTTTCTATAAAAAAATTTACTTGATCTTTTTAATGGCTACGTTTCAAGTGACTCCGCGTTTTATTTAATTTATAAATAAAAAATCGTCTTTTTTTCATGTGTAAGACGCAAGTATGTATATATATAATAAAATACCTTTCTATAGGTACATACTTGCGTTTATTTAGAACAAGACAAATTAACTACTTAAAAGTACCGAAGAATAAAATTTAATAACCTTTTATATTTTATTACTGCACATGATGGCAATATATGATGCAATATTTAAAATCTATTTACAGTAACAAAATGACAGCAATTGCAAATTACCTTAAGTCGTAAGCAGCAGCACGGAACGCTGTGGATACCGATTCAAGTCCCGCCTGCATCGTCAAATTTTTTAATCTTATAATATAATATGGCATACCGTATGGAAATTTTTTAGGTATTATCAGCTGAAAAAACAACAATGACACTAAACGCTCGGACAATTTCCTCCCACAAATAGAAGTATTTACCACTAGGATGTCGCCAATCATCTAATTCTTGTAATCAGTTTATTTTCAGACTGATATGGGCAGTCTAGTTAGTTTTTTGTTTGGATTTTTTCTACTACTTAATATTATGTAGTTTACGTGACTGCTACACGTTAAATACAACATTTTAACCGTTGAGAACGCTTATATATTTGATGCTTTAAACATTTATTAATTGTTATTAATGGTTTTTAATTGGTTGGTTGGTTTTTAATTAAGTTCATCATAATTTATCGCTTAAATGTCCAACAAAATAAATCGACGGCACATCTTTTTGAGATGTTATATGAAAAAATCTGTTTTCTCATTTGACATATGAAAGTAACATACGTGTTTGTTACAGGTTGTACGATGGCCGCAGAAATGCTATATTTACATTGTAAGATTTAGAAGCAATAAAGTAGAAACCCCGTAGCAACAAGCGGACACTAAAGTGCTAAATAAGTAGTGATAGTTCGGTATCTTCCATTGAACTAGTGAAAATGTTCTCTCGAAATCGTGTACAGTTCGTGACAGTGCGTAAAGTATGACGCGAAAATGCCGCAGCGCGCGCCGACCACGTCAACCTTGATGCGTCCATTCGTGGTGCTAGCTCTGCCCGGGATGTATTTGCTGTACAAGTACAACCAGTACCGTCAACAGCAAATGGAGACCGCGAGGCGTCGGGTCACCGAGCGAGAGCTTATGCATCTCAACACTAAAATCGTAAGTTTCATACGTCATTACCTGTACATATACTATGAGACTGCTAGTGGCAGTGTGGCCAAATTATTTTCAATGAGGAGGAAAATACAAATGCGCAATTAACTTTTAACAGTTTTCGGTCACTGTGCTCTTGTAGATAACATTTTTAGAATATAAAAATATCAAGACAAATCAAAAAGTTTGCAGTTAGGCCTTTCTGCCTCTAGGGGCCTCATATATACAAGTTATTTGTTTCGCGAAACATTAAATTCTTTTTGTTTGGTTAGAGCAATATCAAAGAAGGCTTTAGGCTATAAAACACGCAAACAACAAAACAGGAGGAATGTGAATAAATGGTTATCGTAGGGTTTCCGAGGCGTACGCTCAAAACGGTTCAAAATATACCAAAAAATATGTATGAATTGATTCCTCTTTAAAAGATCTAAATAATAAAATGGTATATAATATCGTTTAAGATTCTTGCAAACCCGGAGGGACCCCCCCCCTCAAAATTGTTTATTGAAACGTTTTTTAAATTTTATGTAAATTAGGAGTTATTCTATTACTTACATACTGTACAATAATATATTCCTTAGACTGGAATAGATAAATTTAAACTCTTCTGTAAATAATTCTTCCTTAATTAAGTTTCTTTTTTTTCTTTTCGGACGTTGATCCCACAGATTAAAAATATTACGTTTATGATTATTGAAATAAGAGGTAAATTAAGAGATTCGTACGTAATATAAACGTCCCTTTCCCCCCCATTTTTAAAATTTTTTTTAAAAGTAGAGCGTTTTTTAACCTAAAAACGCTTTTGAAAAGCCCTATAAATTCGCTATTTTACCTACTGTTCTATTTTACCTGTGGAACGGTAAAATTATAACGAATCACGATTTTTCATAGTCATGGGCGTGTCTGTTTATTTTATACGACGTGACCTTGTCGTGACGTGTTATAAGTTGTGACTCAGATCTTTTTATATTTTACTTTTAAAGTTAAGTTTTTACTTCGTTTATATTTTATTTAAAAATATGTGTCCTGGATAGTCGAATCCAGGACGACAACGACGACTATACCAGACTGTTGCAGTGGCACGTAGAAAGTGGATGTTCAAATCCAAAAAGACAAGATCTGTATATTAAATGAGTAGTAGGAGTAAAGAAATTTCGTCCGGATCATGAACCACCGTCCACAGATAAAAAAGCCGTAAAGCTTAATCACGTTTCGGTTTCAGTCTGTGGATTTCCGAATATCCAAAGCCAAAAAAGGTCAACAGCGCATTTTGTTTAGATACTATAGGCTGGGGCTCACCTACCATCAAGGGAACCCCATGCTTGTGTCTGTCCTCCTCAAATATAAAAAAAACTATTTAATAGCCGCTGCTTTTAAAAACAAGCATTAACTCCAAATATCAGAAGATAAATAGCATCTCGAGACACCTTGACGAATTACGGGCCAGTTATATTCGTGCGATGAATACATTTTCTCTGCTCATGAAATATTTACAAATCTACTCAAGTTTTACAACTTTTCACCTTAATTCGTAAGAACTGTCTAGACACGTAAACTGGAGTATTTACGTGCATCACAAAAATGTGGTTTATTGTTTGTTTGTCCATCACAATTGTACTTTTTGAAATAGTGCTTATTGTAATAAGTATTATGTTTATTGGTGTTGATTTTTGGTACTTCGCCATCATTAATCAGTGGTATATACCTAATCTTTGAAAGCAGCTCTTCCAGTGCCTAGTAGCCCCCAGGTCGCGAAGTAGGAGAATAGCATCACCCCCAAGTCTTGGAGAGTATTTTAAACCGGCCTGATATTTCCTCCTGATTATCCTCAATTCAAAAGAATCTGTACCTAAAAAAGAGGGAATTTGTGCCCAGAAACTCTCCAAAATATAGGATATCTACGTGTCAATTGCAATAGAATTAACTAGTTTGAATATTTATAAACCCTGTGCATCTTTGAATAACTTTTGAGCTTTGCTATAGTGGTATAGCTGTACTTCACATAATTATGAGTTTTATAACTAACTTAGTTATGTGTGAAGTAGTAAAGTGCAGTGCTAAATTACCATAATTTTCGAAGTCTAGACGTCGTGACGCACGTATAAACCTGGTCGCATTCCGACTTCTGTCCCTTCCAATTAATTCCAACAAGCAGTAAATATAAGCTTTCAAAAATACAACACCTGAGCGAATGTGATAACAATAGAAAATCTAAAATTATAGCAGTGCCAAGGTAGAACATTGCCCAACACTTTCTCTCTCATATACTATTCTTGTGTTTCATATATGTATTTAGGTGTTCAGAAACGTAGCTTGGTGGACAAGGGCCCCGATACATAAATAAAAAATCGGGCTCTCATCTCCTCTTTCCGCATAACTAGAACTTTTATTAGTCTCCAAAATTATAAAAAAGGAAAGTAATTTATTTAATACTTGAAAGAAAAGTAATTTTTCATTTTTTTTCTCTTTTCAAAGATAAGGTTAAAAGGCCCCCTAAACTCTGAGGCCTGGTGCACTGCACCATCTATCTATACGATAGCCACGCCACTGAGGTTATTGGTATTAGGTAGTAAGGAAACCCGTTGTTATAGAAAACCTTAGTTACCTTATAAAAAAAACCTTGTATGGACTTCTCTCCCATATGTTTTATATAGTGCATCTATATATATTGTATTAACATACTGGAGAAACGACATTATAATTTTAGTTTTATATTATTATAAGTAAATCTTTAGAAAAAATAATTATAAGTTTTTAGATTCTCTATATTTACTGGATGTGCTTCCAGGAAGGTCCATAAGGTCCTGGCTTAACGCAGACAAGACGTTTAACCGTTGAACTACACAGGCTATCTCATGCATACACAGACGTAATTATCACCCTTCTCACATCGCCGCCGTCGGTCATAAATATAGACATTGATTTTTATTGCAGAATGCAGAATATAACATGTCTTTATTGGAATGGAACGGATGCGATGTTCATTAGTCCGGGTTCAAGAGTCAATTAAACTTGGGGCCTTTGTGTTATCTGTAGTATTAATGGAGATTTTCTATTGTTTACATAAGACGTTTTATCATTACTCATGCCTACTTATATTAAGAGGCCTATGGTACTTAAGTGTTTCGATAAGCTTAGCTCGAAGAAGCTACTTAACTTACTAATGTTTACTCAAATCTGTTGTTTTAAAATATTTTTCCGCTTGTGGTAATATTTTGATGAATATTTGCTTTTATTCTCTTTAGCAATAACTGTAGTTTTAATGAGCTTTAATAGGGAATAGAATAGTAAAAAGGTAAGAAAAATTTAATTAAAAGGCTCTGTTAGCTAACCTACTATTTTTGTATTCAAGATAAACCTTCTTAGTTATCCTTCTTTAATGAAATTAAATCCAAAAGACTTCAAAGAACAAAGGAATATTCCGTTTGTCATTCCATTAAGAAATTCCAATCAAACATGTTTTAATCCAACCGCTTTCATAAACAGTACTTTATAAAAAGCACAGCGCAGCAAAATTTACAGTGATGTTTACAACTGCCCTTAATTCCGGTGTAAAGAGCTTATGGTCTGGTGTGGTAACTTCGTCAAGGGTTTTATTAAATGGTGTAGTCTTAAGCCGGGGATACGCGAAAAGACCCGATGATGGTTGTAGACGAGCCAATGCTGATATACCAGAAGAGCCTTATCATTGCGAGAGGAGAAAGAAAAAGAAATCGAACATTTTGCACAAGATCAAATTGAAAATAATCGAAGGGGGGACGAATTTTGGCAGTAAGTTATTCATTTCTTTTAATTATTAAAGGAGTCAATTATTAAAGAACCTCTCATATGAGTGAAGTCCTATTTTATCTAAGTCAGAGTTGAGGCAGACATATTTTTGCATCTGTTTTACTAATCCTTGTGACCAGGGTTACTATAAAAGTTAAACTTAGAGTTAGTAAGCTTTCAATAAAATATATTAGTTTCGCATCTTAATTCAATAAATATGATTTATGGTAACACTTATGTAGAAACCAGGGCGGCATGTCTAGGATAACATTTACAAAATGTTTGGATATAAATATAGTTAGTTTAGTTTTAACAATCTTACCACGACCTGCAATTTAGAACTTAGCTTATGAACGTTATTGCTAATCTTAAATACTGTTTGTAAATAAGTTTACTATATATTTTTCGCGTTTTAAACGGTTAAGGTGTTTTATTTAAATTATTTCCAATCTTTACTCAATAAGAATGTAGGTCATCTTTACGTGCATAATTTTCCATAATTACAATTACCTACACTAATTAGGACCTCGTTGGAGTTTATCCTGTAAAAAGTGCGTTAAATCTTGACCTATTTTCATAAACCTAAAAAGTACTGCTGAAATGGCGTTTACACTGCTCTGCAACAACAAATATAATACGATGTTTATGACGACATTTGTTCCATAAAGTACTATTAACTAATTATTCCTTTTATCTGATGGATAGGGATAACGAAAACTATATTAATTTAATGAAAACCAAGGAATTCTCTATCTCGAAATATACGTTTGGACTCGATATTAGACATACCCATCAGTGTTGATGACCTTTAGTTTACTTTTACGGACTTTTTAATATCTAAGAAATAAAAATCACTATCAATTTAGCTCCATTTCGTAACGTACAATGCACGAAGAAGGTTTGCAAAGAAGTGGTGGTTCCTGAACCCAAGGCGCTTCCGCCGCCTGTCAAGCCGGTGCCTCCGATGCCGGCACCTCGGCCTGGCGTCCAGGTATCGATACTTGGGGCGGATACGTCTTTAGGACAATACGTTGCGCTGCTTCTCAAACAATGTCCTTGCATAAAGAAGTAAGAGTTCTTCCCAGATAAGTACTTTTTATTACTGCAGATAATATTTTGTCATTGTTTGTGCCAGGTAACATCATCGTCATGTTTTAACAATTTTTTTCTTCGACTTTTTTCGAATCGATGTATCCTATTTTATCTCCCATTAAACGTATTATTCTACAGCCATCATTATTTATATTAGTTACATTAAAAAATTCTGTTCAATCCTATTGTTTTGAAAGTAACTAAAACAGTCTTAACAGTTTATTACGAACTGCTTAGTAGGAAACGACGTAATTCCGTTACCTCGAATATCCTTTTATAAGAAAAGTTTGTCGAAACGTGTTGCCCTCCCCTGTTTCCAATTATCCGCCTCATGAAGATAGCTCATTTCTCTCCCATCGGGGCTGTTCGTCAAAATTGCGAACCCAAATGTTTGTTGCGACATCTATGTAAGTCTGCAAATTCTAAGTTTCGTTGATAAAATTTTTCTTTTGTTTTATTACTACACTATGTAAGTTAGTAATTAAGGTTTCGAATTTATGATACATCTTCAAATCATGATATTATGAAACCTGTCTTCAAGACAGAGGAGTAGCGACAATCGTGTAGTTCACTCGGTGAAAGATAAAAATGCCCTAACCATATAGCATGTGTGAAATGATTATGTGCTATTGTGAGTTTTCTGTCTGTCCATTTTCAAACACAGTCAGACACAAATTTGCACTTCAGGCCTTTTCAGGAAAAGCCACAGATCCGGACAGTGACATTGTAATGCTGAGTCAAATCTAGTTAGAATAATAATCAGGAAACGATTTACTAACATGCTGAATTAAATACCGTCTATAGTTTACGCGGGTAGTACACGTTTAAATAAAACATTTTAACGGTTTAAAACGCGATATATTAGTTAAACTTATTTGAAAATGATTTTTAACTTCGGCCCGACGTTTCGGATGCATTTTTGCATTTGCAGCAAACGTGGTCACGGGGAAACCCCCGGTAACAAGGGCGCAAAAAAAAAAAAAAAAAAAAACGCGTTTTAAACCGTTAAAGTGTTTTATTTAAATAACATGCTGAATACTAAGGAAATCGAACCCACAATCCTAAACATATGATTATAATGTATATACAATCTTTTAATGGTAACGCTTAGTATTCAGTTTAGTTGGCTTTTAAATTTATAAATGTATTTAGTAGTTGTATCTTTTTATCAGGTGCTTGCTATTATTTAAATATATTCTAATGTTTAAAACTAGAAATCCAAACGTTCCAAATCAAAATGGAAGCCTCGGGTTACGAGACGCACGGAATCATAAATCCGACTACACTTAATGCACGCGAACTCGTAAAGGCATTACATCAAAGATTCACCAAAACAACAGACATGCCATCATGCCAACCAGTCACTGGAACGTAGTAAAATATTTTACGATTCCAACCGGACTTGGTAGTTTATTGCCAGATTTGATAGCCACTATACAGTCCATCACGACTCTGCATTGATATCGTTAATCACTTTATTATGTCATTTATCGCCTTTACTGCAAATGAACTATGTTGTTTGGGTATTTAGTTTTCGCAACATCAACAGCTCCCGATAAACGTTAAATGATTTGTAATAGTGAAACCGCGATCATTACTTTTGGAGAGATCTCTCTACAAAAATGCATTGAGCGAAATTTGGTTTGAAATTAGTTATAGTACACACTGTAGTGAATAGTACCAGACGAGCAGGGAAAATAAAACAACGGGCCTAGATTAACTCCCTGCCTAACCTGATCCAAAAATTTGTTTTATCTACGTATGTCTACTTTGTGTATACAAGCTTTTCGTCGCTAATTCTGGATGTATTGATATACTGCAAAGCAAACACTTGTACGTGGTCGAGGACTTAAAATCTGGACGCTACAAGCTAAAATATGGGTGATTTTGCAGACTGCGCTTGTACGAAGCGAATGAACCAAACGAGGAATGCCACCGCAGTATATTTCAAGTGGTTGAGGATTTGAGGCACATCAATACTAATTGCTTAGTCCAAGCATTTAGCTGCACTTGTAATGAACTAGAGAGGTGTTTGCAGGTAGATATTTTCGATATAAGCTGCGATTAATCATAGCGTATTAAGTTTGTGGAAAGCGTCAAGGAAGCACTGAATTTAACAGTTAAAGTGATAGTAAAGTGCGAAAAAAATATAGGCTATATAATTTATTTAATTAATTTAATAGTTATTTTGGAACTTAATTATCGCTTGTAATTTATAACTTAAAAAATGATACTTAGTAGCTACAGTGTACGCCAAAAGAAATTTAAAGTCCGGTTAGTATTCGAGGGAGGACCGGGCTCAATACGTTTTAATCATTATCAAAAAAAATCCCAAGAAATTAGTATAGATCCTCGATATATATAACCGAAAGGTAAAGAATGCATAAACCACTTTAATAATATTACACGCTCGAGTTTGTGCAGACTACACGTGTTAACAAAATTTGCATATCTCCGTGGGTGCACTCGCTTGCAATCTGGGTCCAAACTTTCCCTATTTAACTGCAACCACTAACTGCCAATTAACGCGGCCGATTAATTTGCTGCATAATAAATCGCTGAATCGCTCGCGGCTCTTTTGAGTGGCTCATTTATGAGGCATAATGATGAGACAAAAAATTATTCGAAATATAATTACAAGAATCAAATGTCGATAGATTGATTATTGTCTGTATAAAAGAGACTCGTTTATATCAATAAAGAGCCTAAGTTTAAATAACAAACTTTTAACGGTTTAAAACGCAAAGATGACGCTTCGCAGTATTCATCACCCGTAACCACGACATCGGGCCGAAGTATAAATTAAAAATAAGTTAAATTTCGCGTTTTAAACCGTTTAAAGTGTTACATTTAAATGAGGACACCTCGCGTGTATTACAGACTTAGCAGCTTAATCAGTCGGAAATTAGTTTCAGACATTTTGAGAACTCCATATCATGATTTTTTTAAACTTGTAGGTGCCTAGTGAATAAAAATCATATAGAAATATAGTTTCTTAAAAGTACTAGTAATATAATATCTTCGACGCTAATCTGTCTACCGTAGATTTTCTCACATGTTCCGCTTCCACTTCGAGCACAATACATACAATATACATCGATGTTGTTTAGCTTGTACATAATATCTATTTTGTATCGGTCGCTAAATAATACTATATTATTGTATAAAATATTGTTTATAATGTTAATATAAAATTCTGTAAATCAAAATACTATATTAAATTATGGAATTTATTAGCTGCATAGCACTACTTAACGGCCGGACATTAAATGCCTAATTGTGGCTGAATGGTTAAACGTGTTGCCTAGAATCGCATTAAGCACGACAGTTCCAGGGTTCGAATGCTGGGAAAACACCTTTTTCGGCCAAATTTCCCCTTAAATAAATTTTGTTTCCTGCCGGGTAGGAATTTTTTTTTTTTCGGGGGGGGAAAAAATTTAAAGAGGGAAAAAAAAAAAGGGGGGTTTTTCTACCGTTACATCAACGAGCCCGTCAATATTTAAATTTTCTGAATGAAAAACTTACATCTCTGGAAAATCCAGTGAGCAAGTAATAGCGTGATTAAAAGTCAAATACTAGCGTTCTTAATCACATGAGTGATTAAGAACGTCTCTCATTGGCTGTCACGTGACACGCGAAGGTACACCCTTGCCCGTTGCTCGATGTCAGTGACCTCTAATGGTGCTGCAAATGTTTTACTAGCTGTAAATCATTTCAGCAGTTTTCAGCGACAACTAGTAGCTTACTATTGTAACTAGAATCTGGTAGTTTCTATATTGTTATAATAAGCTAAATAAGTGCCTTTTTAGTACTGGGCTTACTTGCTATAATAATCTTTTAATTCCTTCTCCAACAATAGAACTCAGATATAGTCCTGATGCTGGAAAATGGTTACGTTAGTCAAGACCTACCGTTAGAAACGAGATTTGCCTACAGCGCCCCTCTTGTCAAACACTACACCGATATAATTGCGAATGAGTGTCCAAAAGCATTTATCATCGTTTGTGCCACGCCTGTAGATTGCATGGTGCCCTTGGTTTCAGAGGTAAAACATTAATTCAAGATTTCTAGAATCACATAGAAATATTATGTAACTTATATCTACACTTACAGTTCCAAAAACATCAAAAGATAAGTCTAGTTCCATCTTGAGTTTCTCAAACGCTCATACTGCTTGAAAATTTTGGAGTTTTAAGTACGCTCTAAGTATTTACCTTTTTGAGACAAATGTCTGAAGTTTATCATGTCGAACCTGTTACTCGTTTTATCGAAATAATTAGTGGATGGTGCTACAAATGCCACTTGCGTTATCAAAAATAGATCGCTTGTTCATCTTTTTGGTAGAGATATCGACTAATTCTAACCGCAACGACTTAGTGTCTACCGATTTAAAGATGTATTGCAAATAGTCTGCTAATATTGCCTATTGATTATAAATTTTTAATAAGAATAGCATTAAGAGTTAAGAGTTTTCAAAATTACTACTTTTTACACCTTTTTCATTGTAGTCAATATTTTAACAACTGTGACTAGACAAATCAATGCTTCCTTTTTCGTATTATCGTAAATTTTATCAAAATCCCTCTACATAGTTTGCCATCTTCCAGACTCTTAAAGAAACTGGATGGTATGATCCACGAAAAGTGTTGGGTTCTGTAGCCGTACCAGAAATGCGGGCAACTACCCTCGCTGCTCGGGCCTTAAGCTTAGAACCTAACTATGTGCGAGTGCCCTGTGTCGGTGGAACCGAGGGAAATGCTTTAGTGCCTTTGTTCTCAAAGGCAGTAGAATATTTCGAGTTCAGTGAGGTACTTTACAATTTTAATTAGTAATTAAAATCAATTATTTTACTTTTGTTGAACAATTGATTGAATGGATGTAGCTTGTAGCTTCCAACATATTTAAAAACAAAAACGATAGTTTAGGCGCAAAACTCATTAAAAAAACATAAACTAAATTAATGACAAAAAAGTACTTCTTTAAATGACGTGATCCAAATAGATTTTTCATTTTGGAAATAATTGACGATCTCTATGTTGGTGGGATAAGTATTTAATATTTACACTTTCATTTGAATACTTTTATGTTAACAAATTCGTATTTTAAAAGCTACCAGCAATTGTCAAAAACGTAATAAGTCTATTTCAAAATTTAAATGTCCTATTAATAAACAGACAAAACTAATTCTATTTAGCAACCATAAAGGCCGTATCCGAATAAGTGTTTTTTTTCAGAAAAATACACTAATGATGACGAAAACTGTACGCGAAGCTCCAGCGGCAATAGCTCGGTCGGATGGCGATTGTATAAAGGCAGCTGAATTGAGTGAAGCACATGCTTTGGCTAATCTAGTAACAAAAGTCGCCTGGGCATTGCTAGGCAAAGATGTCCCAAGGGTCAGCGGTTTTATTGAAACGGACGCTAGACAAATCATTTCGCCAGCAAGGTATACGTCTAGTATGACTAAGTTAAGTTTTTTGACTAAGACTGCCGACTTTAGTTCCACCGTGACCGCGGCTGCTGTAAAGCATCCCATACTTCGAGTAGTAAATTTTCATATGGTACAGAAATGCTTTTACAATAATTTATGGTCTTAATTATAATAACAACATTTTCATTACCGTTTTCGGAAAATCTAAAATCAATTACACTAGGTAACATTTTTTAAAATATATCGTGTATATTATTTACAAAAAAAAATGTATTAGCTTCTAATGTGCACTCAGTTTCCAAAATATTTTTCTCCATTTTAATTATCCGTTTATACTCAACATCAGAGACCATTTTGTCTTCAAACTCGACGACAAAGTACCAGTAGAAGTTCGTAAATCACAACGGTCTTATTAAGTATCACATTAATATCGATAAAGTTGTCGCGTCGCGTTCACCAACTCCGTGACAATAACGGAAGATTATTTATCTTCAGATTTATTGCTAATACCGTGGAAATAATTGATAAAGGGATTCTAAAGAGCTTGGGTTTGCCGCAAATGAAAGATATCGAAGTTACCACGCTTAATTTGGCGCTGAACGAACTGTGTCGCAGACAAGAAATGGTCGAGGATTGGTACTGCAAATATTGCAGTTCCACTTGCCGACTGGACACTTGCCAGACGCAGTTTTTCGCCCCCAAAGAGTTTCATAGATTTGATGATTGTGCTTATGCGAATATTTGAGTTATGTTTACCGTAGTAAATTATGTAATGTCGTTTGTTTGGTTATAATAAAATAGTAATTTTGTTTTGATACACAAGTTTTATTGTTTATATTCCAATAAACTTTCTGCTCTTTCTACCAGCACCATTGGAGAGTTGGTAGGAGAAATTGTTTATTTCTTTGTTCAACTGTATTGACATTTATATCTGTACTAAAGTAGGACACCATTATTCAATTATATATTTAAAAGTATTTCTCAAAATGCTTAATTTAAGAACTGGTAGTGAATGCATGAGTCAAACGAGTCCTTTGGTAAATGTTTTCATTTTAGCCACCAAGAATTTAATATTTAAGGTAGGTAGGTAGGTAACAGGTAAAAAAATAAATTGATATTAACTCGAGAAAATTTTTCAATGCAGATACCTAGCAATCGATGTTCATCTAAACGATAAGGGTATCATTGATAAAATGGACTTTCCTTGCAAGATAAACGACGTAGAAATGGAACTAATGGACGATGCGCTTACGCATTTAACGGACAATGTTGATTTGGCTCTAGACTGGTATACTGAAGCTTGCAATAAGAAGCTAGCTAGTGGAAAAGTCGCTGCACGCAAACAGTTTCACTACAAAAGACCTTATTCTCATGTTGAGGATTGTTTGTGTCAGTTAACGTGAATTCTAAGACTAATTAATTATGAACAGAAGAAATATATTTTTGTGTGCTGTGTTGAAAAAAATCGAAAAATATTTTGAAATGTAAAAAGAAACGACCGTTTAAATAAATTATGATATTTTAATAGCTTACATTAATTTAAAAACTTTGCTAACTTGACTTGATTTAAAATAATATTATCTAGATCATTCCTAAGGTCCATTCCTTGCAAATGGAGAGCGTTCATTTGTTTTTAAATACAGTTTTCCGTTTGCCCTGAAAAATATATAAAAAATTTATGATATTAACTAAATTTATTTTTGACATTGATGTTCTTAGCTATATCATGCAATCATAAATTGGTACAATTATTATCTATTTTAAACGTCTTTATAAAATTTACATCGTTATAAGACAGACAACCTATATGGTACAGAATATTTGTTTGTTGTGTCACATGCCACACAAACACTAATAAAAGCAACCCGAGTTATGAATTGTGTCAACAATTCGCAATCACTGATGGTAATCAAAGGGCGAATGTAATAAAGGGGTAAACAATAAACATGGCTAATAGACAATAACAGATTGAACGAACTACGATGATCATAAAATAAATGATGAGAATATAGTATGAAATATTGTCTAGCTTAGGGAGTGATGTGAGAAAGAAAACTGTGTTAAAGAAACAGTTATTGGTTTAACAAAACTAAGACCCGACGTGTTGGACGCTCATGCCAAGACGTCGGGTCTGCTATAAAGCGGTAAACATAAACTTAAAATAAATATTACTTGTTATAAGCCAATAAGTGAATAGCCAAATATAATACGTTCATTAGATTAGAGACTGCGCATTAAACAATATCCGTATTTGTTAACAGTCCCTTAGAAGTATTTAATCAATAAGTCACTATTACTTGATAAATCAATTAGCTGAAATAGAGATATTTTATTGAAGTATTAAAAGAATGAAGTAAATTGTCATTACTTACGGTGGTTGGCTGCCAAACCCCATATATCCATCAATCGTGAAGATGCAAGGAGAGGTCGCGTTCATCCAATCCATGCAAGTGGTCGCGGGGAATCCCGTCGGGTTCCGCAACGATTCGGCGTATAGCCGCCACGCCCGATTGTGGCTGCAGCCATCTGGAAGATTTATGGTATTTGCCGATATCAATGTGCTGCTAAAATTGGCTTAAAGCTACAACACTATCTTGTCGTCGTCAGGTTTTTTATCGTATAAATTTGGACCTTAAACTTTACAGGTTATAAAGTTAACATAAAGTTCAAAAGGTCTTTTCAAAACCTTAACGAATTTAAAGCCTTCTGGAGAAACAAAGTTTTTCGACAAAATGTCGTAAATAACACAACCCTGTTTTTCTATTGCATATAAATTTGATGTAGGATTATGTTTGCATATAACACATTCAGAATTTCCTTGTACTACGTCAGCGAAGCCTCTGTGAAGCTAACTTAACGTAATGATTGGAGTTCCGCCAAATACCAAAGCACAAAGATCCAAAATATATGACGTAAACCAAACGCCAAGAGTAATCACATCTCTTATTTGAACAGCTGATGCCGGAGGTTAAGTAAACAACCATGTTTTTCTGAAGAACTCTTCTGTCAATAACAATCGATTACCAATATCAACAGACACTGTTCCAGCTATGATGCCTTCTACCATATTGTGTAAAACTTGTGCTATAAGATAAAGTAAACATTGTACCTAAATAAGATCTATGAAAGCGAATCTTAAATGTTCTGAAGGTCGATCACTAAAATGAAATAAATTGGTATCATGATGAAATTAGTGAACGGCTCACTTCAGATTCTAGAACAGAGGACGAACAACAACGGAATTCTAACTCCGATTTCTTAAGATAAGATGCGATAATATTTCGAAACAGAATATTCGAGAACAAACAATTGCCGCATAGACTTAATTTGTTTTAAATAGCGTCTGTAGTTTTACACATTTAAATAAAACAGTTTAACGGTTTAAAACGCGATATATATTAGTGAAACTTATTTGAAAATGATCGTAACTACGGCCCGACGTTTCGGATGCTTTACAGTCTCCACGTGACGCGCCCTTTAATTTGTTTTTTAATTATTTGTAATGGCATTTATAGATTTTATATTCTTAAGTCAATGCAAGTCAAATTTTAAAATATGGATTTACAAGTATTAGACCTCAGATAGTTTTGTAATAGTATTGCTTTCTACCTTGTTTTATATCCAAATAAGATCTTTATGTAACACTTAGACTATAAAATAAGATACAACCTTAAGCTAATAAAGGTGTTCTCGCTCGTCTACTCCAGTCGCGGAGCTTCACGCTAATAAAACCAATTTCTTGTATAAGCCTTCAGCTTGCGAAATTAGGTTCGTGTTAAACCAATTGTTTCTACTCTAATATCATTTTAATATTACACTTGCGCAAGTTGGCAGCGTATATAAAAAAGAGAAAGATATAAAACCTCCTAACAAACTTGTATACTGTGGTTTAAAATCTATACAATAAATTAAAAAATAGATAAGAACATTTTCATTATTTTCATCACAGAAGGTTTAAATATAATATATAATAAACTTAAAATTTAATTAATCTATTTCTCTTTAAAAGATTGCTTTGGGCGTTAAATTTGCACTTTCTAAATTTAATAAAAAAAACTTCTTTGTTTTTTTTTTATACTTTGTAAACATTTGTTTCTTAACCTTGTAATCTTTTATTGGTATTGACGATATATCTACGTCTTATCTAGTTGTAGGAATACATAATTGACAGCTTTAAAAACTTAGGATTCTTAAAGGCTTAACATAATGTAATATATATGTACACGATAAGATATAAAAAAATTATATTGCTTCTAACCTAACCTAAAAGTACTAAGTACGAAAATGTCATTGTCGTTTGGTATTTTTACTAAGAATAGAATAACCATGAAAACATAACAAGCGGCTCATTAGAATGAGTAGAGTGGTAATAAGACTAGTGAGTTGTGAACTTAGAGCTACTACGACATCACTTTGTAGTGGCCCTTAGAGAATAATACAAATGTCGGAAGAAAAGTTTGTATAATAACCAATGGTTAATTTAAATGGCGAGTACTACATACAGATACAGATAACACTTTTAACGGTTAAAACGCGAAAGATGTTCGTTAAATTTACATAAAATAAAGTGCAAAACGTCGGGTCGATATGATTTTTACTGATATTTTTCGTATTTCACACTTTTACAAATGTATTCTTGGCGGTAATGGTACCTTAATATAGTCTGATAGATTTTCAATGTTTTGTTGAGAACATGTAAAATTATTCAAGGGCGAGACTCTCCTTTTTTGTTAATTATTAAAATCATTTATCTTTTTTTCTAATCCATTTTATTTCAAAACGGTGATATTTGTCCAGCTTTTAATAATTCGGTCTAGCTAAAGCTTCCAAACAAAGTTAACTTTGCCGTAGTAACCGTGTTCAATTTACGTAGAGTCGTAGTTAATAATAATTTGTTTTTTGCGTATTTAAAACAATGTCTATACTACTCGTATAACAAAGATAATAATTGTTAAAAGTATAAGCTTTTGTAAAGCATTTACTTTAAAGATACTACACGTCTATATGCATTTAGATTAGCCAAAGCCAAAATAGCTCGATAGCGTATTTTTCTTAGATAGCTGGGGAGGACATATCCTCCTCTACATTAAAAATATGTGCATCAAATGTAGTTTAAAATCGCAAAGCATTTTGCGCTTCCGTTCCTACGTCACTGAAGCTACACCAGCTAGTACTTAGTAGTAAAGCTTTTGGGCAATGTAACCCCGTTTGTAATAATTATTGCCCCCCTCCGCCCCTCTGCAGCATCCGTATGACGTCAGAGCATCGATCGTTCCTCCCGCCGAAAGGGTCGCAAATTCATTGTTCCATTCCGACAGCGGGAGGCCGACGCTTTGTACATTTTTTACGTCTTTTGATAACCCTAACGCTTTGATAACGTATTTAATTTGGGACACAGCCAAGGAGCAAAATGAGATACCGGCTATGCTCTGCCTCTGTTTGAATTATGTAACCGGTGTTGGTATTTTATTTGAAAATAAGTGGAAGGTTTGGTAAACACTTTCTGTCGTTTACGCGAGTAGTACACATTTAAATAAAACACTTTAACGGTTTTAAACGCGATATATATGAATTAAACTTATTTTTAACTGCGTCCCGACGTTTCGGATGCTTTTGACCACGCTGCTGCAAAGCATCCGAAACGTCGGGCCGTAGTTGATGAACTATTAATAGTACTTACTTAAATGTATATTACGCGCGTAAACTGGAGACATTATCTTAACTCACGGCAAAAAGTTTGCAAAGTAACACTTGTTAAGGATTAACTCACATATAAAATTGATCTGCCTATTCTTCACGAGCTGATCGATCCAGCAACCAGGCTGAATCCACTCTCCAAAATTAGGGTAGAAGTCGACATCGCCGATCGGCTTGGGAAATCCGAATACACCTGGGTTCGTATGTATCACGTCAACAAATGCAGCATCACCTTTACTGAGGTGACCTGCGCTATCGTATAGGCTGTAGCCAGGATATGCCGGATCTAGACCTGGGTAAAGGTAAATTGTACGATTAAAAATTTAATCATAGTGGGGCAAATAGTTATTCCATGCTACGTGTTCGTTGGTGTAATGGTAGGTATTTGTGGTTCGATCTCCACTGGTTCTAATGAATTCAATTTATTTTCTCGAAAATTCTTGGACTTGATTTTCCGGAAATCACTATCCACAATTGAAAATGCGTGATTTCAGTCTGTGGTTTCTGAATATCCGCAGCAAAATATCTCAACAGAGTTGTCGTTAAGAAGATAAGTATCTTCTTAAGATGTTATATACTGAGGTACACCTTCCATCAAATGGTTGTCTGTCTCTCCTCTGTCGTAAAAACAGCACTTATCGCTTTAAAATTTTATTTATTTTTTCAAATAACTTTTACTAGTAATTTAGTTTAAAAAATAATACAGCACCTAAAATTCAAATAAAGTGTGTATTAAGAGTACTCTTAGATTTCAAATGACGTCTTCACACTAATTACGGTAAAATGCCGCGTGTCTAGCTACTGAGTAGCTGTTCGCTGCAGACATGTGTCATTTCGATATACAAAGAGACATTGTGGTCTATTGTCTATGTTTTGTAGACGAATCTCATGTCATAAGTTTTTAATGTCAGTGAGAATTTATCTGCACACTGTACCTGTGATTCTTCCCAGAATAAGACCCCTCGTCTTCAGCTCTTTCCCAGTAAAACCTGCGGCTTCAGCCCCCAAAGAGAATCCTATTAAATGCAAAGTGCCGACTGGAACACCTGCACTGTCCAGGAATTCTATGAAGTCAGCCAGACGTTTTGCGACGTAGCGGGTATTTTCTACTGCGGATACATACCTAAACCAAGATACACAATTTGTTTGATATTGTTTCTTATTTATGAATTCTTGAAAACAGTTATAGGTGATCTTACCAAGGAAATGCGATGAGACGCGACCAATCCACACTAATGAAGTTATAGTTACCCGTTGATAAATATGCTGAAAACAAGAATCAAAGTATAACTTTTACATGCATAATATTAATGTTTCACTGCTGTATGTCTGCTCTCATAGGAGGTATTGTTAAATAGCTTAGACCAGCCACGCTGTTAAAGTGCTGTTTGGTGGACTAACGACTATTGACACTTAATAAACCATTCAAAGAACAGGGGTTATAACACCATCTATTTCCAAGATCCAGGCTGGTTCTAGATATTTTAACTTAAGCTTTCGATTGATTTAAAGTCTAAGTCCCTGGACATTCTGCAGATAAGCTTACTATCCACTAGACGAACAGCAGTTTAACATACAAGCTTGTATATTTAAATAGTATTAATGAAATGCTACGTCTACGAAAAACATTATGTGAGTCCTAATGGAAATGTTGACATCATTCGTAGCATCTTTGTATGCTACGCTAATGATATTTCCGGGATGGAAAATTATCTGTATCTTGTTTTTTTTTAACAATTCACGTTAATAATTTCTTTCCGTAAGTTCCTTACACGTGTCGTACGTATACTGTTGTTTCATGAAGGTATACTAATATTTCGTGTAACATCAAAAACAGCCTAGCAGGCCAAAAGCTGAGCTGGAGCCATGGTTGGAACTTGTACGAATTCTGCCAAAACGGCCATACATACAATGCAGTGAGAAGAAGAATAACAAAAGAGGTTTTGACGATCGATATATTTAAGTTAAAGTTATTATTTACACTTCATGAATGATATTTTCATCATGCAGTCTAACTTACCATTTCTTAGTGTGACCGTACTAACGCCGGTGGACGCTTCGGAAAATCCAAATAGATACATGACAGTAGGATACGATGCATTGAATCTACTACGGGTCACTGACTCTAGGTCATTCACCTTTATAATTTCGAATTTTCTAAAGAAAGGTCTGCAAAAAAAATAAATAATAATTGACAGAAGCATCCTTACTTTTTATTTAGCTAACAATATTTCAATTAGATTGTAAAAATAATTAAAATAATAACTTATAAATATACAAATATGATATTATAAGACGACGTTTCAAAAACCCCGAACCGAAGTTTGAAATAATTCAATTATGTACCCTGAAAATCACCCTTATATTGTAGGAAACAGAGAAAATAAAAATGTAGGTACTCTGCACTACAAATTGAGTACAAATGATGGGCATTATGCGCTGTGAAGGCTTCTTCCTGCACTGAACTATTCTGAAAGTTATGATGAATGACTCTACTTGACTTGGCAGAAACGACAATTAATATTGAACATACCAGTTCTATTGTCCGATACGTTAATGTCGGACAATAGAACAGATATATTTCTGTGTCTGTGTCACGTTTTGAAGCCGAATGAGGCTTTATTATTTTCCTCCGGTATTTAAAGGATATCTCGCGATTTCTAAATGCTAGGAAATGCGTTCAACCGGATACAATTGTTATTGTAAATCTAAGTAATATTTATGCCCTTTTTAATATAAAGATGAAATATCCCAGCCATATGACATCTAAACAAGATATGCTGTCGACCCATATTGGCTTTCGATATTTGGTTATTATTATTTATTTGAGACTTGTACAACTTCTTAATATCGCTATAAAACTATTTCATTCTCTTTAAGAGTTATCTTAAGTTATATATAATTAGTATTATAAATTAAACTACTATCGTAAAACTAAACTATTGTCGTAAGCTGCCTTACCTAGTGAAAAGCTTGTATTTAATATCAATATTATCATTTCGTGGACAACAGTCTTCGCAAAGGCCCACGGGCGCTGGCATGAAACACACCTGCACTGCGCCTGGAATCATTATATAACACCTTATTAGTGTTTTTTTTTTTAATTTATGACACAAATGTTACGGTAAAACATAAAAAACTATTATAATATACATGAAAAATATCTACAACTATCTTTACTAATATAAAAGAAGAGTTTGTTTGTTTGAACGAGGCTACGGGTTGGAATTGAAAAATTATTAATTATTTGTACGAGTTAGATAGTATTATTCAACCTTGAAAGGATTCCCTTTGACGCGAAAGGTTGAAGATACCTCTTTAAAGGACGCGGAGGACGTCGTAGGTAACAGTTTAAAGATATGAAGTTGAGCAGAAAGTTTGCAAAAACAAATTTTGATGCCTAAAATAACTATTCTGGACTAAGTCGCTGACACAGCTAGTTATGTATTATATAACACTTAATAAAAGTAATAAAAAAAAATTGATAAACATAATTGAAAAAGGTTTTATTAAATTCAAGTATGAAATTGCAAAAAGTTCCAACTTTATATTATGGCATTGAAAAGCTTTGTCTATTTTTATATACCTCTGATATTTATTTAAGCCATTCTAACCCGTCTATCCGTTTGCAGCAACATTTAGTTATTCCGTTAATTTATAGCCCGAATTTATAGCGATATGTTCAATACCATTTAGAATACCAACAAAAACTGACATTCTGTATACTTACTTGAACATGGAGAATTTCTATATATTATCTGATTTACTATTAAGTACATATAGAGTATTTTTCTACCTTGAAATTTCCAGTAAACAAACACAAGTTTTTTTACATTGTGTTATAAGTACTCCTTTGTATACCACTTAATGTTCTTAAGATGATAAGTCGTTGCTATAGTTACCATTCTTGTTACATTATAATTAGTCAAAAAGATGTGAATACAGTTCTTTAATAAAAGCCATATCTTATTTCTTTAACTTTATACGAACACATTGATTTACACTAAAAACACTTAGACACATTGAATGATATGTATATATTAAAAAAACTATCTTAAAATTACTTAGTAAAAACTATATTTTTTTGCTAAATTAATAGAAATCGTAAAAATTAATTTACGTAAACGGACAGAATACAATTTTAATTTTACTTAACTTTATTGAAAAATGTACATAGGCATGAACGTGTGCTAAGTCAACGACAATAGAAGGAAGAAGTCCCGCTCACACACAATCGCTGCAAAGCAGTCAAAATGTGGAACTAAATAATACCATGACTTAAAAAAATTAAAAAGGCGTCATAAAAGTGATTTGGAGTATTGAGGTCGCTTGGTTTATATTTAGTCTATGATTATCAACTACACTCTTAAAGGGGTACTCACTGTGTCTCTATGGTTTGAAATTAGCCATATTTGTTGTGGTCTTCATAAGTTAGAAATAAGTTGTTCTGACTTTTGTGCACAGCCACCATTATAAAATATTTCATGTTACAAAGGTCATAGAAACAGGCTAGTTATTAAATTCACATTACATGTAAAGGTTACAGTGAAAACAGTATTGTTGACCTTTTTATGTCAACGTGATTATATTAATACAAATATTCTTCTTTGTTAAAACTAGAAACAGAACATAACTTAAAATCAATTTTATATTGAAACTAAGCACAAAGGACGCGACAATATACTGCTGTTGACATTTTTGTAAACAATTTAAAAGGAATCGTTCTTTTTTTATATATTCTTTTAGTAACTCGAACCGTTTTCGCAGCACACGCACTGGAAACCATCAAAGATGAATAATTTTTCCCTTTTTCTACATTTCCGTCTATTTCTACTTTTCCTATTGACGGCACCGTGTTGTTACATAGCTTTCCACGATAAATGATCACCGCGTTCAAACAAACAAACAAACTCTTTAGCAAATTGTGTAAGGCTTTCACGGCCATCGTTCAGCATAAGATTCCTCCTGATGATGCCGTCCGCACGTGATGGCGAAACGTCGAGAACCTCTTCTCGCTCACGTCGGCCGGCATCATCAGGATATGTTAACTCCACGATTGCAAGAAGAATTCTTCGAGGAATCCTATGCCGAACAATGGCCGGGAAAGGCTTACCCATTTTGCCAAAGGGTTTGTTTTTTTTTTTGCGCGGGGGGCCCCCCTTTTTTTTTTTGGTGTTTAAAAAAAAACCGGGGGCCCGGGGGGAAAAAAGGGGGGGGGGGCAACATCCCGAAAGCCAATGATATAACCCTTTAGCTTTTTAATATGGCTATCACGACATCTCACACGCCCTCCTGTGAGGCAGTTGGTTCACCCGGTTTATTATTTTCTCCTCCAACATGTTTGGTGTCCGTATTCATGACCGTCTCAGAAATATTTATTAATTTGTACGTAGCCTGTATATTTATCCAATCGTACTACTTATATAAGTTACAAAACACAAAATGTAATATAAAAAAGGCATGATAAATTATAATTAAAGAAATTAAAAAAAATAATAATTGAAGGTAAATTTTATTTCGGCGAGTTCCACAAACAGCATAGTCAACAATATACCTACATTTCATCCTAGTGTAAATTCCCGTCTAGGTTTCAATGTGGACTTCGGAATGTCCTAAACGAATATAGATCAACAGAGCATTTTTACTAGCCAAGGCATTTTATCTTTCATCTTGTGACCCCCTTGTTTGTTTAACTTTAAATAAATTAATTTTTATAACAGAATACTATAGTATTCTGTTATAAAAATGGTGACATTTATTTGTCTATAAGAAAATGTTGGAATATTCGTTAATAAATACTGTCTATAGTTTACGCGAGTAGTACACATTTAAATAAAACACTTTAACGGTTTAAAACGTGATATATTAGTTAAACTTATTTGAAAATTATTTTTAACTTAAAATTTTTTCAAATAAGTTTAACTAATATATCGCGTTTTAAACCGTTAAAGTGTTTTATTTAAATATTCGTAAGTATTTAAAATAAGATTAGTCACATTTATCATTCACCAACAAGGGTACTAAATTACAATCTACAATGATGCCTATAATTTATAATTCATTGAATTACTGTTTAAATGTAACGACGTACAAATATTAGAAAAATGAATAGATCCAAATAACAAATAACAATAGTACATTCCGCAAGATAAGTGTCCATAAATTATAACTTATTTTATCGCCTATTCAATTTGTATGTTTTTATTGTATACTTAATAAAAATATGTAACATTTAAATAAAAAATCAACCATTCTTTGTAGCAACAGAAGTATCCGAAATAACATTAATATATTTATCATCAACAATCGTATACTATTAGACCATTAACACGAATGATTAGTTTAATATAACTTGAACTCGGTAAGAGCGCAGAAGGAATGTTTCATTAGTTCTATAAACTTCAATGCTTTCTGCTAATTTAATATTATATTGTACATGTATACACTATGAATGTAATCCATCAAAATACATAGTATTTACGTTAATACAATATAACGCTGAATATTTGCCAGTATAGCAAGGCGTAGCGATAATGTGGCTACGAGATTTACACGTGTATGCTACAAGCACTATGTATCGCACATATAAAATATCATAATAATCTCAAACCATTAAAGTATAATAATAGTTATTGACGCAGTAGGATATTTTTTTAAGTTTAGTAAATTAACAGGTTAGTTTAAAAAAAGGTTACATATTAAAGTGTTCGTTGCTAATACATCGCACCTTCTTCGTGGCCTTTACGGTTATACGCAATGAGTTAAGCACGAAAACTCCTTGGTTAAAATGAAAATATACGTCCGTTGGGCAAGACATCTACAAACAGGGAATGATAATTTCATATAATATGTATACTATATTAATAAAAACGTCAACTATTAATTCGCAAGTATATATAATAGAGGTATTCAGAGGGAAAATGTGAAGGATCTTACCGATAAATATAGACATCAATTGACAAGATGCACCAGAATATAACATGTTGACTTTAACAGCACTTTTTCAAACACCGATATTTAAAATCCAACGATATTCCAAACTTTAAAGTCCGGAAAAGTCGAACAGCAACACGACGCCCACACTCGCATTTTCTTTAACGAACCCGCAGAATTTCCCGCACAATAGACACAATGCTTCGGTACTCGTTAAAAACTTTTATAGAACGTTTTGATTAACCGACCGGAGAGTGCTTTGCAGCGGTCACTGCAAAACCGCTTACGGAAACATATAAGTATATGAAGGTCGCATACACCCTTTTACTCCAACAGACGACGAACTGTTATAATAACGCCGCATCGACTAAAGTCTCCGTAGAAAAATTATGCAATTGTTCTTATAAATTTTTATCGCGGACAAAGGTAAAGGTTGGACGTAATTGTGCTCTATCGAATCGGTTGCGACAGCCATTAGACAAAATAAGTAGCGGAAACAATAACGTTTTGCAACAATTTCACTTTTTAGTAGGCTTGCAACAAATATTCGGTTACTATTCGGCGTGTTTCATACTTTTCGGTTTAAAGTTAATAAACTGAAAATTAAGTCGATAAATTTAATATAACGTCGGTTATGATTATAATAGAAATTTAAATCAAAAATCTATTTTAGATTGAAATAATTTTACGACACGAGCAGGATTTGAAACGGCATCCACAGTTGTCCGTGCTGTTGCTCTAACCAACTGAACTACCGTGTCCTATACAAGTCATCGTCGAATTTATATTGATACATGCACCCGACGAGATGTAATTTCAATGTCTTATGCTTTGCAGCTTAAAAAATCTCATTGTATGATGAACTTTATAAAATAATAAAAATTAAGTTGTAGTTGTAGCAAACTTATTTAAAAAAATTTTTTAACTCGGCCCCGAGGAAAAAAAAAATAAGTTTACCTAATATATCGTGTTTTAAACCGTTAAAGTGTTTTATTTAAATGTGTACTACTCGCGTAAACTATAGACTGTATTTAAAAATTAAGTTTTCAAAGGTTAGAGACTCTGTAATAAAAATCAAGAAAGTACCAAGTATGATTGAGAATATTTAAACAATCATACCAGTTAATATTTCGCGCTAAAATCTAACCAAAAGTTTCGCCGAATATTAGACTATTCGGTCAAGGGTCTTACTGAATATCCGGTATACTACCGAATATACTATTCGTTGCAAGCCTTTCAAGTCATTTCGTCCACTTTGTTCAAATTAGAAGAACGAATGTCGCATGCGTCTAAGGACAGAATAATGAAGGTAACTAGGTAAGCAATTGAATATTCAAATAACGCCAGATAACAATAAAATTGTAAGTTTTACAATTAGTAATTACCAAGGCAAGATTAACATTTGCCACATTACGTGATTCGGATAGATGTGTTTTTGTTTTTTCTGACCCAAATATTTCGGTAATATGGCTCAAGGTGTAACCTAAGCTAATTATAAGCTACAGCACCGTTGAATGTAATAAGTAGGTAGCAAAAACTCACAATTTACTTACAATACATTATCGCTCCTGTTATTTTTTCTCTATATATTTAGTTGATTCAATTTATATTTTCGTTCGTATCGTTTTCTTTAGTGTTTTTTTAATATAAATGAACAACTAAACTGACCTATGTTTCCTTCTACCAATTAATATTTTAAAAAGAATTTTAATTAGTTTCTTTAATTGTTACAGGACAAGTTGCTCAACAAGCTTGAAGAAAACGAACCTGAATTGGCCACATCACCTGAGGAAGAAGTAAGTGTCGACTATTATTCGTTAACTGGCCTCTCCATGGTTCCCATGCTTTTGTCTGTTGGAGGCATTATTTTTTTTAACGCGATATATATTAGTTAACTTATTAACAATTTATTTTAATTACTACTAAATTCTAAATTAGTCGATAATATAATAACTAATATATTTCGCGTTATAGTTACTGTTAGAATGTTTTATTTAAACGTGTAAAAAGTACTAGCGTTAACTACAGACAATATTTACGTCAATGTAGCTGATCTACAAATTGAATAGAATCTTACCAGAAACAACCTGCGTAATATAACTCACCTTTTATGGCGAACATATTGCCAGATTATTTATCGCCGAACATGTCGTTATAATCCCATGGGTACATCCTCCATAAACTAGTAGAGCCTTTAACTCTCTTGGCGGTAATGAAACTGTTCAGTTCTGGTATAAATAAGTCATTTTATAGATTCAATTTAGAAGTACGACTTTTAGTGTAATATATATTAATAGTGAGGTATATCTAAAATATGCCTTATTTATTTTTTTAATAAACATAGCACTGTAGTCAAACATAAGAAATACAATACAATCACATTTACAGTGCAGTTACAAACGATAACACATTTTCTTCCCTTTTCAATTTTCAAATGCTTGGAAGAGATCACTAGACAGACACGCAGCGTATTAAATACTAGCAGTGATTTTTTTTGCGTAGGGTAGGTAATTATTTTGGTCAAGAAAATCTGTTTTTGCAAATCGTTTCGTCCGCGTCCCGTCGTTTTCGCAAGTTAATCTCTAAAGATAGACATAATAATATAATGTCGCGAACATATTTTTAGATCATTTAAAGAGAAATCATTCTATCTTACATATTTTTTGGGAAACTCTCAAAGATGAATATAAATAAGTAAATAAATAATCCGTTTATTATCACAAAGTACATAATTTACAATTAAAATAAAAAAGAAACCTTACAATTAAAAGAATACAAAAAAAGTACAATTTTGACTTTGTGCTAACAGGCATCAAGACTCAGCAAGGCTTGCTAAGCGCTGATTTTCATTGGTCTGTCCCTATTAACGAACTTAAAAAATTATAATATCCGATTTGTCCCCATTTCCCACTATTTCTTCACTATTGGTCAATACGTGCTATTTTATAGTCTATAACCTTCCTCAATAAATGTTCCAACAAACACAAAAAGACTTTTCAAATTCGAGCCAGTAGTTCCTGAGTTTAGCGCGTTTAAACAAACAAACTCTTCGGCTTTATATATTAGTACAAATAAATGGTTTTATATATTTCGTTAATTCCAGTGTGTGATATGTGTAAATGCAAAAGCGACAATGCAAACCTCGCCGTGCGGCCACCGTGTGGTATGCCGGCGATGTTTCGTGAAGACCATTCAAATGGCGGTCAGTCAGCGGCAATTGCCTCTTCGCTGTGTCATATGCCGAGCGAAGATACTCCGTCTGCGACAGGCACCGAGGCTCGTAACCAGCAAGAGTTGGCAGGTTTGTGTAATCTCAAGTAATCTCATTTACCTCTCAAATTTAACAATTTTAATGGTTTGAAGAAATGATTTAGTTAAACTTATTCAAACTAAAGACCGACGTTTCGGATGCTTCGCAGCAGCCGTGGTCACGGGGAGGGTTTTTACCTAATGTGAAAGTAAAAAACTGCTACGCTAGCACCTTCTGTTCCATCGTATTTGGCGAACCTTCCTTGCAGAACTAACAGTGTCCTCGTTAGTGTTTTTTGGGATTAGTTAAAAAAAAACTTAGCCTCCCCATGAGGTAGGAGGAGGAGCCGTAGTTTAAATAAGATTAACTAATACGTTTCATGTTTTAAACCATTAAAAGTGTTTTATTTAAGTATGTCTTACTCACGCAAACAACAGAGTATCTTACAAGAACCTGTCAACCGCATGGAGCAGTATGGTGAATCATTTTAACTCATGAAACCTTCGTTCTTACTGTGCTGGGATGTTAATAGGTTGAAACAATGAACAAAGCAAACATATACATCATAAATATTAAAGTTCATAGTTAAGGTTTTTATAGAAATCTATATATACAGATAACGAGTAATAGCAGTCGACCATGGGGTGTTCCTGGTTCTGTGTCATCTTACTCTGTGGGTGCTCGCTCCGTACCAGCGTCAGCCTCCTTGTATTCAGTCACCAGTGGGGAATCTTCGCTATCCGGTAATTATATAATCAGGTAGTCGCAAATATGGCGACTATCTGTTACTCACGACGTCGTCCGTCGTGCTTTCGAGTTAATCTTAAAAGGTAGACATACCTACTGTGGAGGACATTTTTGGGACCATATAAAGAAGAATCATACATAGTTTTTGGTTTCTTGAACCGTTGTTAGAGCGCACGCAACGGAATCCCTCAAAGACAAATCACTCTTTCCTACATTTTTCTCTGTTTCTTCGATTTTATTGGTCGCCCCCTGATGGTTTATGGCCTAAAGCCTTCCTCAATAAATAGTCCAACCAATGCAAAATAATTTTTCAATTCGAACGAGTAGATCTAGAGACTAGCGTTTTCAAACAATAGATTTATAATTAGAATAGATTTAGTCCGCGAAAGTAGATTAAACAGTTTTTATAATATTTCACTTATTGCATACTTCAGGTGTGTCTTCCGTATCATCAAATAGTGGAGGTAACGTCAGCGGGAGTTGCACAACGAAATTGTGCGGCGGTTCGAAATGTGGTGGAGCCTGCCTCGGCGCGATACCCAGAGTCCCGTCATCATCAGCTCCGCCTAAACCTCGCCAGCCTGGGTCCAATTCATTACGACGATCGCAACATCATAGTATGAAGGTTTGTTTTTGCAATAACAATTTAAATTTACCTCTGTATAGTATTGAAGTTATGCACAGAAAAAAATGTTTCTGTCGTTTAGGACATAAAAGGCGGATCACCGAATTGCCATTGATATAAAAAAAGTATACCTTTTCCCCCCAAACTTTACAAGAAAAAACAACCACCAAAATAAAACAACTTCACTACCCCAACCCAATAATTACGGTAAAAATAGTTTAAGATTTAGTCTATCTGTACAATAAGTTACCTAAAGTTTAAAAAAGCCCATTATAAAATCTTCAAAAATATTAAAGTTCATATTTTAGAATAAGTATAAGTTAATAATAAGATGTTTTTATTATATATCACTGTTTGTTTAATTAAAGTCCGATCATTAAACACATTTAAGTTTAAGTATTAATGTTTTTCGTTAAGTGAATATGTATATTCTTTGAGAAAATAAATTCTTTAAACCTAAAACATAATAGACCAGTAACACGGACATTGGACACAGGACTGGAATTGTGTCTGTGTCAGCAGGATTATACTAGATTTTACCTGTCTTTTTATATTTATCGAGACACTGACTTCTTATGTAACCATTGATATGTGCAAACACTATCACGACTATAATGGATGTCATGTGCCAAATAAATGCCAACGTACAGCTAAGGGCGACCCAATTTACCAATGTGCCAAGATCACGGCATTATACTCGAGTTAATGCCAGGGCAAGTTGACCCATAAAGGTCTTAGGCCTTCTTTAGGTAAACCTAATAAATTGGATTTCATATTGACCTATGCATCTTTTTATGGAATTAATAAACATAGTTTTTAAAACATTAATATTTTTCGCATGCCATGATGGCATTATATTTCTTATATATGTACATAGAATAAAATAAGCGATTCAGTTTTTTAATTCAGCGTTCCATGCTGCATAGTACCCCAATTGGTTAGAGCAGCAGCCAGAAGCGCTGTGGATGCCGGTTCATGACCCCGTGTTGTCAAATTTTTTAATTTAAAAAGACATTTTTATTGAACTTAAAATTCTATGAATATTTAAAAAATGTACGTCATACTTTAAACTCACAGAAGTAACAAAGAATTATTGGTTAATACTTTAGATACAAGGACAAAATAAAACAAACAATACATAAACATCACATTAGATAGAGTTAAAATAAATATGATTACTTGGTGCTAAAGGCTTCTCTAGGAATTGTCAAGATCTTTTTTTTAACTTTTGGTAACCTAAAGTATACGGTTTTCTTTCAGGCAAGATTACAAGATTATCAAGTACACAGCTATACTGGGGGCCCTGCTGCAGAAACGTCTGGCAGGCTTCCACCGATCCGGGAATTTCAGAGGGAATTTCGTGAAGGGAGAAGAGAAAGCGCCAGTTCTTCCTGTGCTTCTACTAGGATAAGGTACTATAATATCGAGCCCTTATCGCTGAATAAATGTAATCGACAAAATTTACAATAAAGCAACTGCACTTAATATAAAATGCAACTTGTTTGAGTAACGTTAACGTGTTTTTCTCATTTTAGCGTGACCGACAGTTCATCTTTATCGTAAGTATTTATTTGTTTTAGTGCTAGGATACAGAGAGGGGCTACTGAATCGATAAACGGCGTACGCATAAAAGTAGGTAAAAGCTTACTGCAACATATTTTTTTTGTCGATTACACTAAGACTGCGATAAAGGCTCGATCTGTTTATTTGCGTAATAAATTTAAGTATATTGTGAAATACAATTTGAACCCGTCTACATACTAGTCTATGTCTAATCAAGTAGGTTTTCAAATTCTATAGCCATGCTTTACAATAGAGCAGCTTCATATTAAGTCAGACTGATCGAACTCGTCTATCCTAAAGTATATTTATATACTTTAGGATAGACGAGTTCCATATCGAGGAAACATTGAGTAAAACTGAACTGAAAAGCCTTTTCTTTTCAGGTGTGCTCAGAAAATAGTAACGCAACTTGAAACATCACCCCAGCAAGACAAGCAACACTTCTTTCGACCGTTAAAACCGCCAAATATAGAAGACCCTCCCAAATCCAGAGACCACAGCAAAGAGACTGAACGAAAAAAAGACAACCCCAAATCGAAGCCCAAGAAAGAAGAAAAGAAAAAGAAAGAATATGATGATAATGCCAAAAATGATAAAATTAAGAAAAACGAAAGCCAAGACAACAAAAAGAATGAAGTAGCTGAAAGAAAGAAAGAGGAAAAGCTAAGATTGAAAGCGGAAAAGGAAGCTAAAAAAGAAGCGAAGATCCAAGCTAAGGAAGAAGAGCGACAAGCCAAGTTGTTGGCTAAGGAAGAGGAAAGACAAGCCAAACTCTTAGCAAAGGAAGAGAAGAAGAAAGCTAAAAAGGAAGCTAAGCTAGCGGCGCAGGCTGAGAAAGAGAAGAGTAAATAATATATTGTTAAACATTTTTACAACGTAGAAACTCGTAGCCGTCTTTAGAATACTAGACTTAAAAACGTTACTCAGGGATAAAGAAACCAATTAATAAAGTTTTAATAGGTACATTTCAAAGAGTTATTATACTACGGTTTAAATATATTAGTTCGTTTACTTTCCGTGTTTTTACATGACAATATATTAAAACATTACGGCATAACGGTTATACAAGAGTAGAATTTTCTCCATAAAAAATAGATCATAATAAATAAATATAAATTTTAATTACGTCTTAAAATCGATAAAATAATTTTTAATAGTCGGAATTTAGTTGAAAACACTGAAGACTGAGGGAATGAGTTAAAATATTATTATATTATTCTAAAATAATTTAATGTAAAGTGGTTGGATATTAATTCAAAATTTAAGATTCTTTTAAATGCTAAATAAATCAGATGATTTATTTCCCAATTATAGGTTAACTTTTCCAACAAAACATGTGTTATAATAAACTTTTACCTGTTTTTTTACATGTTGCATGTTCTTTTCCATATTCATAAATAAACCTATGATTTTATTTTAAATGTAATGTTTACTTATTACTTTGTTTAGCTTCCATAAATTATATCTAAAAATGATAAAATGCAGGTAGCTATCAGACAAAGGTATAGATCATATCAAGCTAAGTGTAATTATTATAATAGTTAAGCGTTGATTTTATTTTTAATATTTCCGTAAAATGGCTCTCTATGGTCATTTGTTAGAAGTTTCCTGTAAAATAAATAAACAATGTTACAAGTTTGTCTTTCATTTGATACAAAGACTCATAAATCTGATGTATCTATATAACATACACATACCCAGGTATATGTTACATACGTAGTTTATGTAAATGTTTATCCGAAAGTAACACAAGTGGCATGGAGCAATTACTGCATTAATACACTAATTTGCAGGCAAGTATTAAGTAATACATGCCAAAGAAGAATGTTTTCAATGTATACCTGGGCTTTGTAGCCCATTTGATCAGCTGCAGGGCGACATGTTATAAAAATATGTAAGTGTTCAGCTATGCAGGAATAAATTCAAGAACCATTTTGGTAGGCCATATTTATTTTAATTCAAAAAATGAATTTACCTTAATAGGAACAATTAGATTATATCCACAATCATAAGCTGTGGTTTGTATGTATGAAAAAAAAACAAAAGTACATCTGTTTCTTAATAAGCTTTTATGTCCTTTAAGCAAAAACTCCATCTTTTGTTTATCACCATCCATGTGTCTTCATTACTATTTTTTGTTTAAGTTTCTTTTCCCAGAATTAATACATACATTTTTGAAAGCTATTACTGATTGTTAAAGAACTTAAATTCAACAAACAATAATTACAAACAAACATTTTATTATCTACATAATATGCATATAACACACTTGATTACTAAATACACTAACATATTGTTTCAAGAAAAATTTAATCTTTGTAGTCATCACCGATTCGGTTCAACATTTCATCTCCAGTTTGCTTGTTGAGACGAAGATACTTGTTAAGCATAGGTCTATAGTAATATGCTTGGTAATCTTGTCTCTCAGCCATTTTCTTAACAATGTCCTTTTCTAACTGTCTAAGTTTCATCTTTTGGGCTTCTTCATCAATGAAGTGCAGAAACTTTTCATATTCCTGAAGTAAACAACAAAATGTTTAAAAACATTAATATTGCACATGAAGGCACAATATAAGAGGAAAAGCATGGAACACTGACAATGCCGGTTCAAGTCTTGCCCGAGGATTTTTCAATTTTTAAATAACATTAAATGTATCAAAATATTTCGTTTGTTAATTAATAAATGCTATCAAACAGCTAATCATTGTATTGGGTCTGTTAAATTTAAGAAAATGAATTTAATACATTGTATGGGGCACAATGCATTTAGCATTTGCCAAACTTTCAATATTTATTCTTTACTTCCTAGTACATAACTTGAATAGTATATATAATATATATGAGAAATTAATAGTATAACACCATTTATACCACTTTCTTCAATTCCTATTTATTAAAGTTTGGCTAGATATATTAGTAACTAATTTTAGCTGTTTTTTGCTCATTCATAAAATCATATGATGGAACATGTTTTTTTATATAAATGTTTTGGTGTACAGGCTAAAAATAAAACCGTTTAAGTATACCTGTTGTGGATTGTTATGAATATAACGAGCAATAAATCTTGTAATCGGGTGTCGATGGTACTCCCAATGCTTCGGATTATAATCATCGGGAATAGGTGTCAGCTGAGCGGGACCGATAAATACGTTAGTGTAAAATATGATAGCTCCAACAGGGATAAGGCCAATCATAAAATAGTAGTGTAACATATCTTTAAATTTATGATATTGAAACCTGAAATAGGAAATAAAAATATGAGAAAGAATAATTCTTGGTTTCTCTAGAAATCTGTCAAAATATTGGTTAGATAATCGTTTGGAAGTATTGAACATACCTCGAAGGTTGCATAGCCATTGTTTTGTGCCCATGATCGCCACATAGACTTTTACCTATTGAGAACTTCACATTTTGCACAGAATTCGGGATGACGGTTTTAGTTTTAAATAAATTATTGCCGAAAGATCGGCCGAGTGCACTCCAAGAAACCATTTTTGTTAAATAAATGATGACATTTGACAGTGATAACTTATTTCACAACTTCTGCCAGTAGATAACGTTTATTCTAATGTTCCGTAGATAAAGCAAAATTATAATTGTATCGTGTATTCGGAATTTTAAAACAAACAACGTAAAGTTTAATATGTAAATATAAGTCGAATGTTTGAATTTCTTTCGTACAACTTAAAAAAAGGGAATTTACTTGATCTCATACATATGTATATAGGGTATTGCTTGACAAGCTGTCACTCATAAATTGGTGGGAAGATGAGAATTGTTTAATGTATTGATTTTATATTTCTTCACAATTTTCGTCTGAGCATGCTCCAAAGACGTGTCAGCGTATCAAACAACTAGTAACTATTCAATATCTATCTATATAACTTCATCAATATTACCCACAATTTCCGAATTATTAGTTACCTAGACTTGAGATCTGCGGTGAATAACCAGCGGAAATCCCATAACAGAACTGTAATAACATTGTTCGCCGGTTAGCGAGATTTTAAAGTTATATTTCTGGTATTAGTTTGCTATTTCAGATTTATAGTTGATTAGTACAAACAAGCAATATGTTTACGCTGACTGCTTGAAATGGAAGAATTGTTACAAGAAATATTCAAAGAAGCTACAGGATCAAAGTTATTATCACTTAAAAAATCATGTCAGGAAGCGTTGGGTAAGCAAATTTTTATTACACAATCGTGGATACCATAATAAATAATTAGTAAAATATGAATTTTATTATTTAAAGAGTGATTTTCATACTCACTTAACATTATGATAATAATTAGTAAAGGTACATATATTAAGCTCTGTTATAATGTTATTGATATAAAAAAATACACAAATCAACTTCTAGATACTTAAAAGTTGTTTAAAAAAGTAAAACTTACTATGTAAGATTAGTAGAACTACTTATATGGAATAAAGGACTCTTATTTTTCAGAGCTAATTTGTTCTCAAGACGGCAATGGTCGCCGAGCATCATACGAACTCCGTCGCACATGTTTGCACCCAATGCAGGTGGCCCTAGAGACCAAGCGGCCCCGCCTAGTCGCGTTCGCTCTGCAGGGGTTTCATGTGAATATATAACATCTAGTCTGATCTATGTTTATTAACTTAAAATCTAAATAGATAAATAAACTATTGATTATTATTATTATTTATTGAAATTAAACAATACTTAAATTATTCGAAAAGATCCAGCTATATTATTAAAACATTATAAATTTGTATTATAATCCAGAAAATACTTCGTGACGATCGTTTTCATCGTGGCATTGAACCAGAGGATGATTCATTATGGACTCCATCTCAACTGCTGTGTGCCACCTCATCTGTTATGTATCAGCTACCCGACACACAGGTATTATACAATACATTTTTTTTGTGAGGACATAAAAAAAAAGAAGGATATTAATGTTTCATTAATTATTGGCAATAGACAGGGTCAATGTTCCACCTATCATTACTATACCAGAAATAATTCCTGCGTTTAATCCTCGGTACAAAAATAACAAGTCATGTAGGGCTTAGTGGATAGTACCATCACCTTGTTAAAAGTAATAAATTCACTCATCTCCCAAAATATTTTTATTAGGTCCAAATATTCCGTATGTACTTGTCGATGGCGCTGTCACCCCGACGTACGCTAAATGGCCGGTTAAGCGTATGGGCCTGCGGACGCTGCGCGGAGGCAGCAGGTGCTGCTCCGCATGTTGCTGCTGCTGCCCGTGCCGCTGCTGCACAGGTTTTGAGAGCTTATTGCGCACAGCTGGGTAATATATACAATGTTTTCATAGAACAGACAAATCAATTCACGTTTTTCTGTAAATTATCACTAAGAATAAGATTGGGTTGTTTCTGACTTTTATAGCCCAAATAATATCCAAATTTATTTGTATCGTCGTGTATTCGCCTGCCTTTTTTTGTATATGGTATGACACCTTCATTAATTATTAAGTACTTATATCCCCATGTGTTTTAGATGAAGAATGTCAAGAGTTGCTCTCAGAAGGGTCTCCCGTAGGGCGAAACCACATAGTAGCAGTAGGCTGTTATAGTGAGGTGATACCAGTAATACAGTACCTATGCAGTCGGCTAGCTGAAACTCAAATGTAAGAAGACCACCAATTTACTTTTTTAAAATTTTATGAAAATTGAAGGTTTTAATATATTGGTGATATTTAGGTTCCATACATAGACATTTCCTATTAATAATATTTAATAAGCAAGAAAAATAATGATTCTAACTTATACATTTTAAGGATTGTTGTGTAATTGCTTAAATCTAGTTAAGTGTTATTTAAATTGTATAATTATATCTATGCTGTTGCTACACTATTATAAAGTTTTCTGTTGTCTCCTGTTTTAGTAAATCATATTATTCTTTTAAATTTATTTTGCCTAGCAATTGTTTTCTAAACAATCTCATGTTTCAGGATTCCAAAACAGAATCCGGTGGCCTTGTTCTTCCTAGACTGCCTTTTAACTTTGATGTCAAGCTTATCGGAGCGTGTTAGCGGAAATTCACACTTCACAACTTTCCTCTGGCAAAAGTTTTGTCCGTCGCTTATATCTTTCTTAGGAACGCCTCGGGTCGACAAGAATATAAAATCTAGGTAAAGTATATCTAACAATGTTGCAGTGAAAACGTAATCAGAACCTTTAAAGTTCCCATTTCTAAGACTCAAGCCCCCTTGTAGGTGTTGGCAGCTTATGCCATCAGTTTTACTTGAAAATTATTAGTTAAATAGAGATTACAACTAGAGACCCATCAAAAATTTACCTCTTTCAAAAAGAAAGGTATTCCTTAATTTTGCAGAGAACATGAAGGCCACTTAGTAGATGATTCTGGTCGAGGCTCGGGAGCATTAGTCTGCGCACCAAGCTTTAATAGCAAACAGGCTAAAACTATATACAGGTAGAGCATTATTTTTCTATCAAAGTCCAACTTACAACTTAATACCATAAATGTTGAAAAAATCTAGATTTTTAAAATTTTTATTTACAAATGTTATCCTATTGGTAAATTTATTACATTACAATTATTAAAAAATAATCCATATGAGACTATCAATTCAGTAAATATCATATATTATTTCAGTATTGCCAACCAGTTGGTCCGTCTGGTAGGATCAACCTCCAACTTGAGGCCAGTGCTAGAAGCTCTTTACCACAGAATGCTTCTCTATCCTCCTATTGAGCATCGAGTTGAACCATTGCGCAGTGTGCGTGAAATGTTGCAAAATCCTAAGAGACTCACTCAACTTGTGCTTTTGAAGAAAACAGATCCGGAGAGACACAGCGATGATATGGCTATTGTTAGACTGTAAGTTTATATACATATTCTTGAGTAAAGAAATTATTGAATAAGACATGACTTGTAAATACAAGTTTCCTTCATTTTTCCCTAATCGGTTTTATGAAGACAGAGTGTAAAATCCCCTTTTTAAAATTTACATTAATATATAAGTATGTCGGCAAGCTTCATGTAACCATTTTTGGTTGTCATGCCCCTGGAAAAATTACTATATGTTGAGTCTCTTATTTATACTTTAATTGTATATATGTACTTGGATAAACTATTTATACTTAAACATTATTTTTATACATTACTTTTATCAGTGCAAGTGAATGCTAAAACAAAAATACGAAATATCCGCTAATGAAACATTCAATACCTGCCTGTGCTTTCGATGGCACTACCTCTGTTATAGAATAAGATTGACACTAGGTAATCTATTTTTGGATATTTGCTTTGTAATATGTAATAACTTAAAGTGAAGTTAATGTTTTACTTAACAAAGACACTGTCTTTCCAATAAATCATCAAGTAATAAACGTGTGAACATAATTAAATGCTTGGTATTTTCAAATGCTTGATTTTAATTCCATATGAGAGAAATGGAATCTAAAAATAGTTTCTCTGATTTCATTGTTTTCCCTAACAGGATAATGGACGGCATCGAGGAATGCGGCCGCAGTGGTGATCCCGATGTAGTAGCAGCCGCGGTAGAATGCGTAGTATCTTTGTTAGATGCTTTGGAGAAGCTTTGTTCCAATCCCCATGACTACATAACTCCGGATATGTCAACCCTTATATTGGAACATTGGCCGAAGTTACATGACGCTGATTATACCGGTCCCCTAACTTATCAAACGTTGGCCAGGCTACCTAGCCCATATAGGTTTGTATATTTTTTTAAATTGGAATATTATTAACTTCCTAAAATAATAAAAGTTTTTTTGGCTTTTTAGGGATGTCGTTGCTGTCTTACAAAGTAATGAAGAAAAGGGCAATGATTCCTCAGGTAAATAATTATTTAATACTTAATATATTTAATAAATGAGTTTTTCCTAAATTAGATACTTAGTCTCTTGTCTTAAAATCAAACCCGCAAAAACACGGATTATTTGGGCAGGGCACTAAAGGCAATTTATTATTTTTTAAAGAATATTGTAGATATATGAATTCTAACTGTGCTCTTAGATACTTCGGGCCCAGAAAATATCAGCTCTGGTAGTGAAGCAGAAGCCGATTCAGATGCAGACAACGTGTTTTTGCCAAGCAGAGCTAGTAATCCCACTTCTGATGTCAAGCATGACAACTTCAACAAGAATGCAAAATCTGTTCCGAAAACTTTAAACCTGGGCAGGTAAATTGTATAGGTTTAATAAAGTACCATCTCCTAATTTTAGTTTATTAGAAATGTTTTCCTCATTACACAAATGCCTGATTTTTGGGTATGCATAATCGTAGTAATGAATGAAATAATGTTGCTTTTATTTTACCGTCGTTTATGTTTTGATAAAGAAACATATTAACTAAATCTCAAGCTATTCTAATCTATAATATAAGCACTTGAAGTTAGTTTTCATGCGCATGCGCAACTCCCGAAAATTATTGAAAGATAATAACTTTTATAGATGCACAATAACCGAATGCAACGTAGATCTTGAGAGACACAACGCAAGACAGTTTGTGAAAACGCTACAAAATTCCCTACTTCCAAAACTGATAAATCTCCGCACATGTATCGAAGTAAGTGGTTTATTAAATTGGAACATTTTTCCCTGCTGAAAATATCGGTGTGAATAAAAGAATGCAAATCAAATTTCGTTCTAAATTTTTATACAACACTTTGTACGTGTAAGTCTCAACGATTCAGGTATAATTCTAGTTTATGAAATACATTAAAGATTTCCTTTTGAGTACGAACCTTACAGGTATAATATTTTATTTTAAGAAATGTAAATTGCATGTTACTTGTAGCAAACATTTTGAATTTTACTATCTGCAAAACGACAGGCACAGGACATGTTTATCAAAATCTTTTAACAAAAATGCTTTTCTTCTATACTTAATACTTTCTTGCGCATTTATTGTACGTTTTAAAATTGTACCCAGTAAAATTTAAGTAACATAATATGTTTAAGATTTAAATTTCCCCCTTTAATGACAAAGGTGGATGAGGCTATGCAAGAGTTCGCATCGAAGTGTTGCCAGCACAATGCGTCACAACCACCCGCTACCGCTTGTATCATGAACGCTGATGGCGTCTACCTGGCCACATATGCTGCTTTACTACTTACCCTGAAGCAGAAGAAGAGCAAATACTACGCTGATGTCAGCGTAAGTAGATTTTACTATTACTTTGTACTTGAGAGGAATTCATAGAAGATGGATTTTTATTACATTTTCTATTTTTTTTTTTAGAAAATACCACTACCCCTAACTGAGGACGAGTTCGTTGACGACGTTCAAGGCAGCGGTGTATTAGTGTACTTGTCTGCTACTTGGCTGCGAGAACTGTACCAGCAAGTGGTAGCGACTGACCTCCTGAAGGATGTACTGACTTCTGATCATCCACTCATACATTTGCTCTCTGGTGAGATTTCAATTGAATCTTAATATGGTTGATATAGAATAAATATATACTTAATAATAATATTAATTATACAAATTTACTTAAATATAACACTTTCAACAATTTAAAACGCAAAATATATTAGCTTAGGAACTTTTAAATACAGACTGAGCTTTAGGGTGCTTTGCAGCCCTGTCATACATATAGTTTTAGACCGCCAAAAGCGTCTTAGTAGTAGAAATTTATTTACAAAATCTTGTCTATGTATTAAAGATCTGGGTGGGCTGGATTCAAATCCCGTGATGTCGGACTGGCAGAGACTGAAAGAAGTGTCTATGGTGTATAACGATTCAATCGATTCGCCCCAACATCAGGCTAGTCTACGATGGGCCAGAAGGTTAGTTTGAACTGAACCAATTATTTTTTACTACAATTTAAGGTTCAAGAAGTCCTACATATTTGAGGGAAAATAAAAGATCCTTTTATTATTTAGCTACTATTAGACCGACAAGAACGATAAAATTGAAGATTCAATAAATTGTTTTGTCTTTTTTTTTTCAGAATACTAACTTGCATTTGGGATTCAATGGTTACAGTACTAAGTGTCCCACTTACTGGCTACACCAACAGAAAGCATAAACTACATGGAATCATCACTAAAAAGATTAATACATTTGGTAAAAGAAAGAGAATTGCTTGGGAAGGTCTTACGATACAGTGTTTGGAGGGTCTACATAAGGTATTTCATTTATGTACTATGAAATCCTTTAAATTTTAAACAATAAAAATTATTTATACTGTACATAAGAATTATACTATCAAGAGACAACCTGGGAACGAATCCCGATGAAAATACACATTGATCCAATGTACATTCCATATATAAACATAACATAACAATAAAAGTTAAATCTCTTTCCCCCGTTGGGAAACACATTCTTGTGTCTCTTTCAGGCCAGTGGTTGATCAGACTTATATACGCGGCTCATCTGAAGGTACAGTGTCTCGGGAAATTATTGTTATATATTTTTTCTGACTTAGTGAAATGCTCTAGCTATGTATACTGTATTTTTTCTAACTCGGCATTTTTGGTTAACTAAAATAAATGTACAAGTAATCGTGACATAAATAATAAAAAAAGATCGTCATAAAAGTCATTTTAAATATATAATCGATGTTTCTTTGTCCCTGTGTCATCTGTGGCAACAACTTCACTCTAAAAGGTCATCACTAGTTCTCTATGGTTTGAAATCGGCCATATTTGTTGTGGTACTTTGCCAACTGTTCATTCTTATAAGTGTACTATTTCCACATGTAGGCAGCCCGTATCAGCACCACGCTCAGTCTCCAGAATCGCTGTAACAGCATACTGGCCCTCCTTGCTAGCTCAGCCACGTCCCAACCGGCCAATGGGAAAATATTATCCACTCACGCGCTTTCTCTGGACATATTGATATCAGGTACTTTTATACCTTTTACTACTTAATACTAATTTACTGGCTTTTTTAAGATAGAGGAGGATAAACGAGGAATTCACTTGATCGTAGATGAAATATCCCAGCCATATAACATCTAAACAATATGCGCCATCGACCTCTTTTGGCTTTGCATATTCGATATTCCTTCCACCAGTTTTATTCTATCCAATCTTATTTTTATAATATTTAGTGACATTTAAACACTTTTTCCAGGGGGACTTGAATTGGGTTCCAAAGCTCCAGAATGTTGGGATCACATTTTTTCCGCTTGCCACTATGTCTCTAGTTTTGAGCATTCGCTTTTTGGTCAACAAGGGAACAACGCTACACCCATAGTTACTATGCAGACTGGGAGAAATAAGACTGTGTCAATACTGCAAACTGATGCTAAACTTGGCTTGGAAGGAAAAGATGATGAGACGTGGTATGTCAGTGGCCAAATCCTTCTTAATCACTAATTTTAATTACTTAAATTGCTTAAAACAAAGTGTCTTATGTATCCTGTTGCCAAATTCATAGTAAAAGATGTAATGTTGTTTCAGTGTTGACGTCTTCAATTTCCTGCAACCCATTTTCGATAATAGCAGCTCAAATGAAATGTCAGTTGCGAAAATAGTGGAAGCGTGTCGTCAAGAGGTAGGCTTATGTATAATCTATATATTTTTAATTAAACTTCTTTTCAAATATTCATATTATCTTAGTTAAAACATTCTAACCTCAAGTCAATATATTTATGCAAATGTTTTGTATCTTAGGAAAAACGTAGATACTTTTAAAACGAACGGCAGTTTTTATCAGTACAAAGCGCGTAATAAGTGTACCAAGCAGAAGGCAAGGCACCATAGAAAGTGTCAATTTTTTCAATGTGCGATATTTTAATGAAAACCCCCAATGAAGTGCTAGCCCTGTCAATAAATCAGTTTAAATCGTATGTTGTTTGGAAGGGATTTAAACGATAACAATGCTTGGGATTTGAAGGAACCCGCTCTAACAAGAAAAAACGTGTAACGTAGTACCTAACATGGAATTGGCGATAAAAGGAGAGGCGGCAAGATTTGAAAACGGGTAGTAAATGTCAATTTAGAGTTACCTACGTAATTTTTATTTTTATTTTTTTCTTTTTTTTAACTTAATCTCTTTATGCAAACAATAAAGTATAATATTTGTTTTCACAGGGTGGGAATATAATATCGGGATCGAACGCGGCCCGCGTCTGCTGTGCGCTTACGGCGGCCGCAGATACGCTGTACACTCGCTTAGCTGCGACAACCACATTGCCCACACTAAAGGCAGCCCTTCAACATCTTGTGTTACATCATCATCGATTGGTAATTACTTATCGATTATACATAGTATGTAATTTACGATTTGTAATTGCAAACATATGAATAAATTATAAAAGGCCGTTAGAACAAAACTATAATATTTTTTTAATTTTAGTTATTTTCGTCATGGGATCAAGATATTGTAAACAACAACGTGTGGTGGCGTCGTGGGAGTACCTCTCGCGTTGTGGGCGGGAATGGAGCGGGTGAAGCTGCGCGTGCGCTGTGCCGTGCGGGTGATGTTGCTCTACGTTGTCTACGTGCCGCGAGACCACTAGCGCATCGTATGGCCATTTGGACTGTGGTTGGGCCACATTTTATGCAGGTTAGTTAACTTGCTATTAGGAATTACTTACATTATATCTTCGGGCAATAGTTTTTTTTAAACATATACTAGATATAGAAGTATAAAAAGGAAGTTTGACGATTTCAGGCTGCCTGCCACAAAGACATCCAAATATCAAGCCTGGCAATACAATGCTTACACGATTGTGCGACTACCCTACTTAACCAACAAGTTGAGTTGCCACACTTCCATTTCAATGAAGCACTTCTAAAACCATTTGAAAATCTACTTTGCTTGGAATTGTGTGATGACGATATTCAGGTATTCATTTTTATATTAGGTATTAAAAAATATATTATTATCAATCTGGCTGCCGAGAAAATTAATTGAGCTTATTTTATTTAATTTCAGGAGCAAATCATTTCTTGTATTTGTGAGTTTGTTGAAACAAATAGAATGGAAATAAGATCTGGTTGGCGCCCACTGTTCAATACATTGCGCGCAGCAAACAATTCTAACCAATATTCAGCTATACTGGAAATATTCAAAGTTTTTCTAAATACTGACAATACTTTGGTGTTTGCGAATGCAGCGTTGGACTGCATACTATGCTTACTGAGTCACATAAAAGGATTACATTACGATGAAACTCAAACTCCAGAGACGAAGCCTAAAAAACCCTCAACACCGACACAGCCCAAACCAAGCTTGAGCCTAAAGTTCTCTAAGAACAGCAAATTCATACCGCTAAGTGAGGAGAAAACAGAAAAAGTTATTGTCGACATGTGTAGAGAGGCGCTATACCATTTGGAGAATTGTGCGGACATTTTAACGATGATGTATAACATGCCCAAGTGCCCAATTTTTAATACCGGAAACCGCATCAAGGGTGACCTCCCACTGTCCGTCGTAGATCCGATAATACCCAGCGCATCACTGGATGTAACAAAATATATAAGCAACGAAAATTGCATTGAAGAACTCATATCGTACAGGAAATTATCAACTACCCTCCCGCCTTCCAACACGACAAATAACTGTTTGTTAAAGCTCGATAAGCCGAGTAACATTCTTAAAGTTTGGTATGTATTGATCGAAGGGCTGATATCTGCTACTGTCGTGTGCTCTAAGAAAAATCAACCGGCAGCCATGGAGACGCTTTTTAAATTGCTGAGAAATATTGCCGAGATACCTGGAACGCATTTCGGTCTTCACTGCATCAATCATCTTTTACTACCAACTGTGCAGAATTGGCTTCGACAAATAGCTAATGTTAACACGCACTGGGACAGTGTTATGCCAAACTTTAAGCAATGCTGCGGCATGACCACAGACACGATTGTTTTCTACCTTCACAATCTGCAGCAAATTAATATAGAGAGAAGCGTCGAGGACAACGATAAAGTTCACGAGCCATTCGAAAGCGCCGAAGTGACATTTGCTCTAAAGCAAATAATGCTTATTCTAGTGGAATGTATAGCACAAGCGCAAGAACCAATAGCGAGATTAGGCGCTTCCTGCATTCGCCATATCATTCTGACATCAGGCCATCTCTTAACAGATAATCAGTGGGAGATAATCTGCACGAGTTTACACAGAGCGTGCAACGTTAGCTTGAGCCCCCTGAAACAATTGACGTACGCGTTTAAGGAAAACTCGAATAGTTTCTACGGAGATTTGGCGATGGTCAAAGTTGCGGCGCGAAGAGATTGTTCCGTTAACGACAACGTAAGGTTGCATGCTATGGCACAACAAGTATTTTTAACAGAGCAGCTAAGAGGTGAAAGTAATTTGAAGCAAACGTCTAAGAATTCGAATCAAATCCTAATAGATGACAGAAGCTATATATTTCTGATATATTTACATGAAGCAGTCACCTCTCTCAACCCTGATTTGTACACCGTAAGAATACCCAATAGAGGACTAGTGGTTGGCCTTCTAGCTCATCAAATACTTATCCAGATAATTGCGACAGTCCTAATACAGGCTTCCTCAGACGTGTTCCAGGGCATTAATGGCATTTTGCTAGAGAGCCTCAAAAGTGGTACAACGATATGCAACTATCAGTTCTTTCTCACTAAGAACAACATAGACTTGCTATTAAAAAGCTTAGAGCTATCCTACACTAGGGCAATGCAGTTTGATTCGAGACCAGGCCTCAAGTTTTTAGTCCAAAAAGTGTCTAATTTGGATTACGCTGCAAATTTATACAAGCAAACATCTTCCTCTTGGCTAATTAAAATTATTGCTTTAACCGATATATTTTTTAACGGAGTAAGTAAATTTAAGCTTAAACCGACCGATTTGTCTATAATTTTGAAGAACTACACATCATCGTTGAACATGACGTTGGAGTACGATCAATTCGTCATGAAAATATTCGACTTGAAAGCCACTTGGGAGCTTTTGTGCAGTAGTTATTTAAAGCATTTGATTAGCGTGTCTGATTTCGATAACTCGGATTTGAAAGATCGTATATCCATTAGTTCAGGAGAGTCGGATTCTTCTAATCATGATGAGGAGTTCTATGAAGAAGCGGAGAATGTATCGCAAGAGACGAAGGAAGTAGATAACGTAGAAAAACCGAAGCCATTTACCTTCGCTGATTTTAAAACTTCTAATGTTGAGAAAGCAGAAATTAGACAGCCGCATAATAAGGAAAACGAAGAAAATGACAATAAAATATATCCTAAAGTAGAGAGCCCTAAAAATGAACAGAAGAATGTCATTCGCTATTCTGATGTTAGTCCGGCGAAAGTTAAAACTGCTGATACTGATAACGCATCAGAAATTGATAAGGCAAGAACGGTAAATATTAGCATCAGCGACCCACAATTATTGGAGAAGAACAAGAACATCGAAGTGATTCTGCCTCCACAGCCAGTCCCACCTGAAATTGAGCAGCAGAGAACTTTGAGTATTAGTAAGGTATGTGAATTAACTAGTTTTCGGCCTTGGCTTCTCTCGTGAGATTCCTATTAAAAGAGCCCATAAGCTCTGATGATGTTCAGTAATCCAACTGCACGTGATCGTAATAGGGTTGACTTTCGCTTGTGTCGTCTAATCTTTTCAGTCTAAAGTAGATTTTTAATTAATTTGAGAAAGCTATCGCGATTGTAATTACATGTTAATTTTTTTTTAAACGCTCATAAATGTTTGTGGGAAATTAACAAACATCTAAGTTTTTATATAAGTTGTACAATTGTAATATATTATGATAAAACAAACTCGTTATGTTAATTTTATCAAGACTTACTGATTTACTATAGCTCCTATAAAAGGGAGCTATTCAAAGTATGTTTCCATAATTATACCTAGATTTTACAATAGCTGGAAAGTATTTTTTTTTCAAAGGTAGATGGTTAAAAGTTTGTAACAAAAATCACTTTTAATTTCAGGATATGGAGGTACAAAGGAATTGTTTTCTGAACATAATTATGGCGTATTTGGAACTTGTACTAACATTCCCACTAGAGAGATTCCATTTGATTTATCCAGTACTGCAAACTGGCTTCGTACAACTAGCGAGGACTGTGAGCGACCCTCAACTCCTCGATAGGATTAACGTATTCTTTGATAAGAAAGATCTGGTCGAATTTAGTCGTAAGTAATAATCAACCTTTTTTCTTGTATTAAATGTATATTCCTGGATCTCAAAATGTAACCAAATAAAACGTGTATAATTAGAAATGTTTTATTTATCACAATGAGTATAAATATCTTTAAAAATACAATAAATTGCTTCAACAAAATAACAAATAACATATTTGGTATAAGGACTACTTTGTCTTTTGTAAAGATTACAAATGCTTATTTCAGTCTATCTAATTACTGTTTTTGATCTGAAATAAATCTTACATGGCACATTGCGTAATAGTATGAAACCTTCAACAAATTACATATTTATTTATTACCTTATACTTTCGTATTCGACCTCCGCTGGTTTAAAACGAATAAGTTTTTGTAACTATCAAAGTCATAAGAGGGTAGTTGTAAAGCCGACCAAAGCGTTTCTCAAACTTTTACATTCCATGATATTCACTATTGAAGTTTTTATACATTTATATACACGTGTGTCAGTTACCTCAACACATAAACAAATATAAGAGAATACGCAACGGTAACGAGGGACAGAGCTAAACCACCAACTCCTTGAGTGGGAGAAGTATGGATAACTAAAGCGTAGGACAAAGCACTTAACCCTAAATCACTAGTTATTAACGCACTATCTCTATTTATGAGATCAGCTATTTTCTCGGCTTCAAGAACGCACACCTTCAACTGCAAATCTGTCGGGTTCTTTACAATGGCTTCTATAGTTACGAAAATCTCCATTTCAATAGTTAAATAGCCACGTAGCGCGCATTCGGCCACTTTTACGTGCTTTTCTAAAGCCGACAACACATTTCTGAGGTTGATAACAGACGCAGATATGTTTGTACCATATAGAGCTCTATCTATCTGCTTTTTTGAGTAGAGTATTCTCAAAGCACCTCCACATTTTGGACAGCACGCCCCAGGGGCGGTGAATCCGAGGCAATTCGGGTTTTTTAAAGGCGGACACAAGATTCGGTCTAAGTGGCATTTTGGTTCCATAAGGTCTGATATGGGCCCGACAGCGTAGCACGGGCCGAAATAATCGACGCTTACGTATTCGGCCCACGCGGCGCATTCAGAAAAATATGTCACTCCATTTACACCACAAACCGTACCGACCTGAAACGAGTGAAAGGTCACTTGTGAATATTGTCGCTAATAGATCTTTATCTTAAAAAAAGCCTTGTCTGTCTTAGAAACAGCCCTTTTTCTTATTTCTATATATATAGCTGTTTCTGATTTTAGCTTTGGTTTTTTCACCTGTGGACGGTGTTTCGTTAGCCGGGCGGAATTTAGACATTCGTACCAACCAATATCCAGATTTTCAAACGAAGTCCAACTTGTCTCGAAAAAAATATATAATGATTAAAAAAATGTTGGACCTGGTTGGAAAAGCACACCCGTTATACTGCATTAATAGTCGCATTATTATTTATAAAATTATTGTCATTAAAAATACATGTTAAAGAACGGGAGTGTTAGAATGTGAATGATCTTTTCAGGGGGGGGTTTCACCTTCCATGAAGTAAGCCCCACCCTACTCTATTACAAAACCAAAAAAATCTTACCGCAGAACACCCTTGCAAACAATGCCCCCAGTACGCCAGCTTCCTCCCACTCATAACCAAATGACACGGATTAGCATGCGTGTGTCCGTCTGTATCGCAAACCGGCGCGGGCGCATGTGCATTGCAATTTGATATGTTCACTGAAATACAATTTATATTTTTATCCATTGATTAGTGACTACAGACGACAATGACAAGCAAAATATTGTCTGTCGTTTACGCGAGTAATACACATTTAAAATAAAACACTATAATGGTTTAAAACGCGAAATATCACCCTCCATCTTAAGTCTTTCCCTGACCATGGCTGCTCCAAAGCATCCGGACGTCGTGCCGTAGTTAAAATAATTTTCAAACAAAGTAAACTAATATATTTCGCGTTTTGAACCGTTAAAGTGTTTTATTCAAAAGATTATTGATTCAATTGGAACATAGGAAACGGGTTATTAAACATTAAATTGCCCGAGAAGTGTTTAACCGGGCAAAGAGATATTTGAATTTATTTTACATACCACATGTATATTGCGGACAGTCAAGTTGCAATCTCGAAAGACAGACAGATGTCGCTGGTAGACACACATGTCGACGCGGGCAAGCTGCGTTTGCGCACACGGAACGTGAACCGAACTCTATCTCACCGTCGGTTGCGCCCGCGCATCTAAACATATAACTTTTATTAATAACTCCACTTTTATAACAAAGCTCTGCCGCTTTTATTTGGCTTCGCGCAAGAAGGTTTTTTAATAGAACATATATTTGTATTGTATTGATATTTTGTTATATTATAACAGAAACATACGAGTGTATACCTTGTAACTTCAAGTTTATATTACTTAATGAACGAAAATAAAATAAACAAAAGATAGTTACTTAGCAAGACACGCGTTAGGGTACAGTCTACCCGGCGTGTGGACTGGTAAATGGTGAGGTGGACAGTTGCAAGGGAGACCGGTCATCAGGGCAGCTCGCCCGCAAGCCCTTCGACCGCAGACCCGCTCCCCCGACATACAGCGGCACGGGTTGCACTCCATGTAATATTTTTCACCTGAAACATAAGTAGAAAATAGTAATGTGTTCAAGATATTTTATAAGAGGGATTCTATAACATAATAAGATATCTGCCGAGATGTTTAAAATTTTAAATACATATTAAATATTATAAGAGATAAAGCTGAATTTTGTTTATTAGAGCATTTATCAAAGGAAGGCTTTAACTATAGGTTAACAACGAGACGATGCAACCAGTAGTAGCGCAGAGACAGTGAGATATATAGCGGAAGACACGGAGAAAGTATTCATCTTTAAGACTTCAAGGTACTCAAAATTATGTATGAAAGAATGATTCCTTTGATCTTAAAACATCTCTGCGACAGTAATGTCTATCTTTTAAGATTAACTTGAAAAATGACGTGCCGCGGGCGACATCGTTGGTAATGTATACACATGAGGAGGTTTGCAAAAACAAACCAATTTTTGATACCCAAAAAAAAACTATCCTACGCGGACGATGTCGCTGGGATAGCTAGTATTAAATATTATAATAATTTTCAAACTTAATAGAACAAATATTTACCATGTTTAACTATTTTATCGTGAAGCCGGCAGTTATCCAAGGCCACACTGGGTAGAGGCTGACAATGAGTTAAACCTCGATTTGTACAACGGCAGATTTTGATACAAACTTTTTGTGAAGCACATGGCATAGGTACTCGAACCCACGACCCTATAGCTACGATGTAAGGGCTTCCATCACCTGAAAATTTACACAAAATAATACTAACGTTACCTACCTAGGTGTTTAACTTTACGATGACACTTCTAAGCAACAAAAACACAAAACTTCAAAATCATCTTTTCAAATACGTAGAAAAATTTCTTTCTTGACAGATTATAATTACTTAAAAACAATTCAAAAGAATGGTCTTTGTACTTGTATTTATTACATAAGGGTTGTATTATTTTTATCTTTTTTTATTATTATCTAACAAAGACAAGTTACTAAATGTATTATACAAATCAATTAATATACCTAAGGGGCATCCATCCAAACAAGTGAAACGCGCGCAAGAGTCACTGGTGGTACAACTTCTGTTGAGTGCGCAGACTTGTGAGGAATTGCACGGTGCACCCGCGCAGGGTGAACGCACCGCTTCGCTTGCGGATAGTAGTGCTGGTTCTGAACCTAATTTATTTCTTATTAGTAATATAAACAGTTGAGCATCAATATAACTTAAAGAAACTGGGTATGTTTGAGGAAAAAACGTACTAGGCGTCATGAAGTCAGAGAGAGATACACACGGTGCGTTCTCGTGCTTTGGAGCGAGACGGGCACATAGCGCAGGCGCAGATAGTGGTGCCCGAGACCATTCTACGCACGAAGATACCAACTTTAAACAATCCTCCATACAAAGAAGACTGCTGTGACCCTGCAAAAAAAATCATATTTAGGAATTTTAAAGCTAATTAAAATAAAAGACTTATAACCGATTAAAACGCGAGATGTATTAGGTAAATTTTTTTACAATTTTATGTAATTTATGTTAAATTTTTTTTACAAAATTAAATTAGTAAACTGCTCGCGCAAACTATGGACAGTACTTATAAAGGCTAATTTCTACAAAACAACTCCACAGATCGAATAAATTATTTTTATTACTATTATACAAATGAACGATACAAAATTAATTTCGTAGGTACCTTATTCGTACAGGGCTTCACATGAAGCGCACACGCAACGCTCTTCCATATATCTGTATTGCATTGGGAGGAATTTTTTAAAGGCAGCTGCATACCTGCTACTGTTACATACCTAGTATACAACATAACAAAAAACTGTATAAATCTCTTGAAAATTAATAAAAGATATATATATATATATCCAATATTTCCAAGGCAAGTAGAATTCATTATCTAAACGTATATAAAAGGAAAAACTCTTTTTGGTTGGGTGAAAAACACAACAAAAAGTTTTTTTTTTTTTCCGGAATAAGAAAAAAGAAAACAATAAAAAACTTACAACACGGATGGGACTTGAACCAGCATCCAACAAATACCGTGCTGCTGCACTAACCAATTGAGCTACAGCTGCTCTGCAAGATTCTTGGTTGTAGTTTAAAACTTACCCAGATCCCTTTTGTTCTGCAACAGCAAGATGTGCGTCTAGATCAGCCTGTGCTGAACACGAACGGAATAAAGTACTGGGACGGTTATTCAACTGGCTGCAGTATGTCAGACCAGCACATCCCAAGGAACAGGGGGATTCAACTGGGGAATAGACGAAACATTGTTTAAATCAAAACATTGTAAACTTATTACTGTTGAAAACATATACTGGTAGTACTGTCTGTAGTTTACGCGAGTAGTACACATTTAAATAAAACACTTTAACCGTTTAAAACACAATATATATTAGTTGAACTTATTCGAAAATTACTTTAACTACGGCCTGACGTTTTAGCCAGTATGCTCTTGACCATAGCTCCTGCAAAGCATCCGAAACGTTGGGCCGTAGTTAATGTAATTTTTGAATAACACTTTAACTAATATATATTAAATTCAATTCAAACTCTTTAATTATACTCGTAGTAAACTATTATTAGCTGCATAACAGTACTTTACTATAAAAGAATTTAAAAATTTATTTTCTAAGATATAGACATCTTCCCAGGGCTCACTCTAAGCACCGTAGAGGGCTGGCGGTGTGTTTAGTGGTTCTGGTCGGCTATACGATTTACCACACTCCCCACGTCACACTTGCCCGACGTGGGCGTGCATTAGGCATTCACACCATCAGTAAAAAAAAGGATATAGACATCTAACATTTTGTCTTAAGAGGAAGTTAATTCTTATTACTTATATAACTTTCATAATACCTTCTTCAATACATTCAGCCAATTCGGTTTCTTGGGGATCGCCTAAACATTCTGAGTAAAACTTTTGAAAATTGGTTTGCCAGCCAGAACTAAACGTGTTGAAACATAGTCTTCGACAATTTATTGTAGCGCCCTGTAACAAAAATAGGAAAGAGGTTAAAGAATGCTGCTAGTTGGTTCTTATGTTCTCTTCATACCATGAGTAAAATATAGTCTGATAGTATAATTGTTTATTTGAGTTTAGTTTATAGAAAATAAAATTGGAAAAAGATTAATATTTTTCACACGTCACATGATTGCATAAAGTAAATTTATAATGGACACACACACACACCCATAAACCATCTTTATTTTATCATCGGCCATCTTTATAAAACATCACAAATGTTTAAAGAAGGAATCAGACCTTATGACAACAGTGCAATTTCGCAACATCGTGAGGAATAACATCTTTGGTGTCTGGTGGTGCGTCCTTTCTAAGGAAGCATTGCCACATATTGTCGTGGATGGCTGGCGCTCCACATTCCTGCGACAGGGCTTCTGCTATTTCCTGAGACTCTCCTGTTCTTCGAAGAACAGTTTCACATGTGTTTCGACACTCAGAGCTTGGAGACTCGTGACAACAAGGCAAATCTGAAAACAAAACATAGCATACTGTCTGTAATTTACGCGAGTAGTACATATTTAAATAAAACACTTTAATGGTTTAAAACGGAAAACATTAGCCTATTTTGCTAGTACCCGGCCAGATTCGCCGATAACAACTTCGACAAAATGGCGCTAGCGTAGCAGTTTTTACTTTGATATTAGATACACCCTCCATTTTTAGCCTCGGGCCGTTGTTAATATAATTTTCAAATAAATTATATATTTTGCGTTTTAAACCGTTTAAAAATTTAATTGAAATAGAGGAAATTGAGCCTACTAATAATTAAAAAATACGTTTCAAGACACTGTTCATTTATGTGTACATAATACTTTTGAATGTAAACTTTACCTCAATAATATACAGTTACTTTTGTATTAAATAAAATTACTACTATAAACTTGTTACTAGTATACTTTGTTGTAAGTAGGTAGGTACGTAACAGTTGCATGAATGCGTTTTATAAATTCTACCCAACATAATAAAGAAGTTTTTAAAATCAAGTGCGTTAAAAATCGCATACATTTTGATGTGTCAGCATGAACAGTGGAAGCTGTAAGTTCTGAAAGACACCGCAGTAGTGGTGGGGACTGGTCACATGCTTCGACTGCTCGATCACGGGCAGCGCTGCTCGCTCGAGTCTGTCCAACACGCCACACTGCGCGGGAGCACGCCTCGTGGCAGCTTAGCGATTGGGTTTGAGCTGGAAATGGTTATATACTTAACATAATGAGAATTTTGTGCTTTTATTAATTAAAATCCTTTTAAGGAAGTTAAGAATTTTGAGCTTGCCGTCCTGGTACAGTTAAATATAATTCACTACCCACAACGCAGAAATCTTTTTAGATCATTTAAAAAAATAATCATTCTTTCTTACATATATTATTGATTTCTTGAACCGTTTTTCTTGTTATGTTTTTCACATTTGTCATTACTCGTCACATGGGACGTGGTTTGCAGCATGATATCATATAGCATACAAAGCCCTCCTCGACAAATAGTCTATCCAAAACAAAAACAAAGTATGAAAAAAAAATCTATTTGAACCAGTCCTGAGGTTAGCGCGTTCAAACTCTTTAGCGTTATAATATTATAATAGTATAAATGTGTAGTTCGATACTGATATAGCTAAATTTACATACTAACTTTACAAATAAATGTCGTACTTATATATGCAGTAATAATGAATAACAAACTCACAACAGCACCATTGAGCTTCCTGCTGCTTCTGGACACAGTCGAAGAAAGCAATTTCATCGGATCTACGACACGTGTTGGACAGAGCCGCAGCATCTGATGCGGTGGCGCAAGCTCTTCTACACGAGGGCGAATGGCCAAGGGAACAGCATGCGCGCCCCCACCACCCAGAACCCGATACTACTTCTAGAAATTCAAAGAATAAAATGTATATTTAGATTTATGACAGTACTCGTACTAAGCACACTACAAAAGTAATGAGATTCTATAACTTCTAATAAGTCTAAGAAATTAAAAAAGAAGAAATTAATATGATAATAATTAACGACTAGAGACACCATAGAGAACCATGTTAAATTTTAATGAGACTTAAAGGATCTATAAATCTGTCTATAATAAAGAAAACATTATTTATATGCCATCATAAATGAAAACAACGCGAGCGAAGGTTCAAGTGTACAAGGCGCAATACTGGTCTTCAGGTGGACCTTAGGACTGTTGACGTATTACGCAATAAATATAGTATATAAATTATATGTATGCATATTATATACTACGTAAATTAAATCGATAAATTGTACCGGTCGGGCAGGGCACAGAAGTCTAAACGAATACTTTTCTGTGCATAAAATCGATCTGGTTAAGAAAGTATAGTTAATAAGATATGTTAAGGTTAAAATTACATATGCATTGAAGAAACTAGATGATGACGTTTTAAACACGGTAGCTCAATAGGCGAGAGCAGCAGCTCGGATAATTGTGGATGTCATTTCGAGTCCCACTCGTGACGACGATATTTCAATCTAAATAGAGTTTTAATTTAAGGCACACTTATTTAAATTAAATTGAAATCAAAGAGAAATAAACTCACCTTGTATTGTTTGGTTCATACATATCCAGAACTCTATCTGTAAAAAAAAGCGTTCATTTGTTGATTTGACATAATCTGCTGTAACTCGATACGTATTCTAAGACATGTGTAAGCCTCCCCAATTACAATACAATGGCGAGAGGCGGTTTATTGACGATAAAGGAGGCCTACAGACAAATGCTCGCTTTAAGATGTATTATGTCGATTAGTAATGAATTATATCTCACATTACATTTAAGAACTATGGATATTTGAAAACTGGTTGTGAGACAGCAGAACATACCAGTTGTGGTGTACAGAACTTATAGATGTTCTGTATTCTCTCCTCCCTCATGGCCGAGTCTGATGCTATCTCGACTAACGACATCTGTGGACGAAAACAAGTATTAAATGGCTGCAGCAAAGCAACCGAAATGTCAGGCCGTTGGTAAAATAATTTTCAAATAAGTTTAACTAATATATATTTATCGCGTTTTACACCGTTAATGTGTTTTATTTAAATATTTGATACCCTATTATATCTGCTTCAACTCCTTTGAGGTATTCGAAATATAGAATATATATTTCGCTATAAAATTAACTGAGATCTAACTCACATCGCATGCGATTAACTAAAACCAAACCATATGTGAATTTAGGTCAATGTAGACTATGCACCGTGGATCGGAAATCCACGCCAGTGCCCAGATTGCATAAGGAACGGTTTACACTGAGTATTAAACTAGGTATTTAAAATTAAATGAGCATAATTATAAATTGAATTTGCGATTATATAAGGAAACTTCATCAAAGGAGCCGATTAATGACCACTTTATATATATCGTTAAGGAAAACATTAATTTAAGTACCGCACTCTACATAGTGGTGCTAAAATATTACAATTTATATATATGTATTAGCAGGTATTGCTAGATTAATTTTTTTCGAATATTTACTGAAATTTCACTAATTAACGGTTCTAATTATTAATTATATTAGTTAAACTTTAACGGTTTTAAATTATGAAATATATTAGTTCAACAGATTTTTAAATTATTTTTACTACGATACAGTTCCGCCAAATACCAACTACGACGGAACAGATGGCGCTAGCAGTTTTCAATTTGACATTACAGGCATCCTCCAGTCTCCCCGTGACCATGGCTGCTAGTTCAAGGTAGATATCAAAATATAACGATTATATCATGCTTACATACTCTTTCAGTAATAGACTATTTTTGTATTAAAATCGCAAGTTAAATAGGTATCGAACGCGAACGTAACGAAGCGGTTAGCTCTCCGAAAAAGGAGAAATCAACCAAAATATCAGCCTAAAAATTACTTGTCTTCAAATATCAAAAACGATTTGTACTCTAAAAGCTACATCAAAGCTCGCAGCTACATTTAACGTATATGTAATCGAAGTGTATAAAATAATATCATAAATTCTCTTGCGCATCATACGATAAATCACAAGTCCGATACTTGGAAACTGTAATAAAACTTACGTAATGTACGTGTTTAGGGCGATGTAAACATATGTTCGATGGTTATTGAGACGCCAAGATTTGTAATATGGCCATCTATTTATGTTTGAAAATGGATAAACTTATCTGTTATCGGCTTTTATTATTGACGCTCATTTAGCACTTAGTATATTTTGGCAAGCTGTTGAAATAAATCATTCAGATATCATAAATATATGACTAAGCATCGATGGCCCGACAGAATACCCAAAATAAATGTGTCTTCGTGTCAATCGTGACTAATATTGACTATAAAGAAGACATAATTGCTAATTGCACGAGTAAAACTAGACTACCCGCCGGGCACAAAACTGTGTCCCATCCCCTAGAAATCTTCACCCCATTATTTCAAAATAACAAGTTGTCAATAACCATCTGTCATTTCCCAATGACAGTTTGTTAAACGTCAACGACTATATCGACCCCACTTATGTCACAAGTATTATTTGACGTTTCTGAATATCCCTTATAATATAAACAAACTATCCATTTGATTTGGTAAATGTAATGGATAGCTGACTGCAAGATGTCATGCCATGCACCCATCCTCCAGTGAGGCAGTTGGTACACTCAGTTATAATTTCCTTCTCCAACACGTTTAGTGTTTAGTGTATTCATGACCGTCTCCGACATACCGAATAGTCTAGATAAGTTTCGTATTGCATGACCATGATATTTGAAAAAACGTAATTTACCAGTTTCATATAAATCAAAGTACACCTTGTTCCTTTGGTAAGAATTGGGGGTAGATGAAACTCTTTCCTTTTTCAAATACTGATTAATAATTACTAAACTTAGATATTTAATCTTAATTTAAGCTTATTTAATTTTTATATCCAATAATAAAAAAACATTTGAAGGGCCGTTTGTAAATTTGGTAGTCATTGTATGTATCCACATTTTTAAATTGACTAATTCAAACGACTGTTAATTGGGACAAACGAGTAATGAAAATAATTGAACATCGGATGTAGGCCGCAAACCGCGTCCCTTTTAAAATATCTAATTACTCTACGCGGCGACGGAATTTCTTATTAGTTTGTTTCGTGGGTATTTAATTAGTAACTTAACATGTGTCACGTTAGCATGTTATAATTTGGTGTTATTTGATGCATGTGTTGTTCATTAATGATCGTTATAACGATAGAAGACTACAACTCGCTTGCAAGAACGATGTTCAATTGTTGAGTGTTTTCAACTCCCAAAATCTGTATTTATTTATGGTTGTACAAATACAGGACACAAATAGAAAAATCGCAGTATTATATTTTAAGAAGTAGATGTAAAGTAAAGTTTCAAGATTCCACAGATAAAATTAATATTAACGATAGTCACAATAACAAAATAAAATAGAGAAAAGTGCGTAATAATAAAATGGCAATTTCAAACAAACCACGTCAAAACAATAATAATTATTGATATTTTAAATAATTTGATAAACAGTTCTGTAACTGTCATAAAATAGAATTTAATTGGATACCTAATAGATTTAATGAAGAGCTTTTTCCAAGTAGTGACTGTGTAGAATAAACCCATTTCAACGTACACTTTTTAAAATAGTATTTCGACAGGTATATCTACCAAAAGACTTGTATCTATTGCAGAACCAAAACCTATTAATGCTCAATGTTAGGATATAAAAAACACAGCCATTCTTCATAGAATGTGAGTATAAATATGCTGTTCTCTCATTCGTCGTTATTCAGATTTTTCGGAATAAGTTTTTGAACCTGCCTTAACATAAGAATTATTCGAGTGAGAACTTTAGTGAAAGGCTTTCTAAATTTGTCTTTTTCAAAGCTTAATTCGGAATGAATTTAATGAATTCAAGTATTTCTTTTATTATGTTTTTTTTTTAATTTCTAGATTTACTTAATCCTGTATGATATATGCTGTTGATTATTATTTTTGTGTACAGCTTTTGTACTGTAACGCGTCAATACGCGCAATTATAAAGCGTTACAGGAATTGTCCTGTAAACGCTTTTCCAGGCAATTTTGTAATTCTTCTCCACCATCTACACAGTGGTGTATTTCCGTTGTATCTCGCTTTATTTTCTAAAATTGTTTTTCAGTAATATTTTTAGAACATGCAAATCACTGCACGTGCATTTCATATCAATTACAAAGCTCCGCGTTTATTATTCAATGCAGTTAAAAGATTTCCTTATAAGACCATCAGTATGCAGTGTAACAATGCTTTAACGACTTATAGGCGTCGCATCTTATCTATAATAGGGTTATCTGCGAGACCCGGTCTCGGTGACAAGAATGCACTTTGATGTTCCCAAAATGTTTTAACTTCCTCCTATAACTTTCGTCGCGTTTGTTTTGTGTGATTTATCTGTTTGGATAGTACATTTGGCGCGCGCATTTGTCTGATCTCGAAATATGTGGCGGATTAATGTCGTAATTTTATTGTGACAAATGACTGTGGAGATATGTTGATTAGTAGTACTTTAACAAAATTTTCAAAATGAAGTATTTTGGACTTAAAACAGAGATTCTTGTGCGAATAGATCTGCATAGACCTTAGTCCTTAATAGTTTCCACTTCTGGGACTGGAAACAATTATGCTTCACGAGTTGGGAATGAACTCAGGAACGGTAGACGAGTAAACATACCACAAAACCAACACATCATTAATTTTTATTTAATACTTAGTATTAAGGCTACAAAGCATTGGCTGTAAGTTACTTAAGATAGTCATGCACATGATATAATAATTCATCCTCCCATTGCCCATTAAATAGTACTTAGCCTACGACTGAGATCGCTTGAGTGATAAGCAACAATTGTGTTCACAGCTTGAACAATGATCATTGTATACAAATCAGTTAGGACCAAATCGTCCCACACCATCGTAGCCCAATGTCGCAAATTGGTGCATAATAAAACATGGAACTTGCATATTAATTAAACTTCGCTGCATCTCCTTAGACCCACCACACTGCTTCAGCACGGGTTTATGTGCTTTATTGTAAGTGAAATATAACTGTAGTTAATACGATTTGTAAAGATAAGTAAACTCCTTCGTGACATTAATTAACTAATATCTATATGTCGCGTTTAAAACAGTCATTTTTTTCTAATATAAGTAATATTAGATGATATAAAATGCTTTAAACTATTTTAACACAAATTGAATTAAAAAATAAGACTAAAACAGTAAGTGCGATAGGTAATAGAAAATAAAAATGTCGGCTTTTTTTATCAAACCTACCTTTTACTAGTATATGAATAGATTAATAATAACTAGATGAGCAAGTAATCTGTGTAATATATACTACCTGTAACTTCTCAAAGTTACAGGTAGTCAATACACAGATTACTTTTTAGAAGAGCATTTAATACGAAACGTTCACTAAATGCTGTCTATAGTTTACGCGAGTCGTAGACATTTAAATAAAACACTTTAACGGTTTAAAACGCGATATATATAAGCTTTACTTATATAAAAATTATTTGTAACTTAGGCCCGACTTTTCGGATGCCCTGCGGCAGCCGTGGTCAAGGGGAGGCGAAACGAGATGAAACGATAACTTCAAAACGGCATACTCGTACTCGTAGTACACAAGATATTCATTCAAATCACATAATTACGCTATAAAATCACTAGTCCAGAGGCGTGTGAACTAAATTAAACCATGTGTCTCAGCTACAGACTGTATTTACTAAAATATTATGGCTTAAGGTCTGTCGGTCTTTTTAACGAGGTTATCTGTTTCGCGAACAGATATTAATTATATTTATTTTGAATATCGCTATCCTTGAAATATTTTAAGAGTTGTTTATTTGGTGATAACATTGCACCTAATAAAATTTTATCTTGACTACGTAACCCACGAAGTAACCTTTTTTCT